CCCTGCCCCCCAGGCTGCCCCTGTGCATCACACCTAAGGCTGTGTGTTGTATGTGATGAGGCAGGAGAAAGGGTTTTGGCTCTTTCAGAATTTCATTCTGTTGCTGGAAATGCAGTCTCCTTTGAGACCCCACAGGAAGCTTCTTGGGTCTGGCACAGGAAAGAATTGAAGGCCGAGCGCAGTGAGGGGACATCACCGAAAGGTGCTCAGTGAGAGAGATGGGGCCCTCAGAAGGCCGGTGCAGCTGCACCCAAGTTTGTTTTCCGTTTTTCTCATATCGGGGTCTTGTCTACATAAACACTACGCCATGCTACCTGTGGGTGGACTGACAATGTGACAGAATTTATTACTCTGTGGGCCGGGCCAAGGGGCTCATGCCTGTAATCCCAGCAGTCTGGGAGGCCGAGGCAGGTGGATCATGAGGTCCGGAGTTCATGACCAGCCTGGCCAACATGGTGAAACCCGTCTCTACTAAAAGTACAAAAATTAGCCAGGTGTGGTGGTATAGGCCTGTAATCCCAGCTACTCGGGAGGCTGAGGCAGGAGAATCGCTTGAACCCGGGAGGCAGAGGTCACACAACTGTACTCCAGCCTGGGTGACAGAGTGAGACTCTGTCTCAAAAAAAAAAAGAAAAGCAAAAAGAATGTATTACTCTATGGATTGAAAGAAAACTGTCCCAGACATTTTAGTGTGTGAGCGTGTGGAAGCCTAAGTGTAGGGATCTAGAAGGCACATGCTGCCGTGGCTGTGGGGACGCCAGGACTGTCTGCTGTTGTAGGGGTTTCCCTGCAGGTACCTAAGCGCTTCCTCAGCTGTAAACATCTCGTGACTGTGGGTCCTGACTGGCAAGGATGGACCTTGTTAGTCCCAAGGAGCTGGACCTCAGTGGCGTCACCCTGGTGCTCCCAGGCCCCTGCTTCTGTGATGACACCATGTGGAAAGCAGAGCTGCAGATAAATCCCTGGCTGCTGGTCAAGTCCTGACCTCAGGTCCTGTCTCAAGTTGGAGGGTTCAGGGGGCAGGTCGCACAGGTGCCACGGGCTGGGCAAGCGGCTGGAGATGGGACCCTGATAGGGGCCCTGTGCCCTGACCCACAAAGCTCAGACTCAGAGGGACTCAAGAATTTCATGGTGGGGACTGCTTCTAGCTGGTTACCACTGTCCTGTTGGCATGCAGCTCCATTTGCATAGACCAGGACCCTCCATAGAGCAGGGTGGGGCTCCTCCTCTCCCGGAGTGGCGGCACGTCCTTCAGGGGAGCCTAGGGGCTGCAGCATCAGGCATCACCCAGCCTTCGCCTGTGCTCACACCTGAGGCAGCGTTTGTCACCCACCTCACTTATAGCTGAAGAAACTGAGGCACAGGCAGGTGGATGCACCCTACCCGGCAGTGGGAAGCCCCGACCTCCACCCTAGGCCAGGCCAAGGCCCCCAGCCCTCTCTGGGACAGACACTGCCCCTGACCTGCTGCCTGCCAGGCCTGACGTCTTGCCCTCCTTATGGGGCCTTGGGGAAAAGCCATCACCCTTGTCAGCCGGACAGGAGGTGGCTAAGGGAGAGGGTTGGGCAGGAGGAGCCCAGAGGCCCCAGGAAGGGGGTATCAAGGGCAGCCCCCAGGAGCAGAAGCCCTTTTCTCAGAAGCCAGAGGTGCTGCAGGGAGTGACAATGACCAGCCACCCCCCAAGGTCCCCATGGCTCCGGAAAGCATGGCAGCAACGAATCCCGACACTCTTCACTCATGGTTTCTAAAACAGCGTTGAAGTGAAAGCCCCACCGCACAGAGCCTGCCCTGGAAACCCTGGGCCCTGTGGGTGGAAGGGGTCAGGCTGCCCCAGGCGCTGCTGGAACAAGATCAGGGACGCCTGTGTCAGGCTGGGGGGCTGTGGAGCTGAGCACCCCTCTCATCAGGACACCTGTGTCAGGCTCGGGGGTGCTGTGGAGCTGAGCACCACTCATCAGGACGCCTGTGTCAGGGTGGGGGGCTGTGGAGCTGAGCACCCCTCTCATCAAAACACCTTTCAGGCTGGGGGCGGGCTGTGGAGCTGAGCACCCCCCTCATCAGGATACCTGTGTCAGGCTGGGGGGGTGTGGAGCTGAGCACCCCTCTCATCAGGACGCCTGTGTCAGGCTGGGGGTGGCTGTGGAGCTGAGCACCCCTCTCATGGACCCAGGTACGACCACTTCTCTGTGCTGTGTGAGCTGCTCCCTGCAGGAGTCCCGTCCCTGGCCGCCTGTCTGCAGTTGCTTCTATGGGGTACGTCTGGTCTGGCCACCCCAAGCCCTGCCGGCTCCTCCCAGAAAGACCTGAAGAACAGGAGACCAAGTGCCCAGTGCTCCAAACACCCTGCTGGACTGTGGTGGTTCTCACAGGGGGAGGGTGGTCTCACTACCCCAGCTCAGCCACCTGCCTGCCCTGAAGTCCACCCAGGCTGGGCCTGTGCCCAGTCTCCAAGCCTAAGCCCAAAGCAGACTGGAGAGTTCTGAAGGTACACCCCTCAGACACAGTGAACCCACAGAAATGCATGCAGAGGTCGGACATGGGGAGCAGCTGTATGCTGCAGAAACATCCTGAACACCTGGTTGAGCAGGTGTGGGCTCAGGCTTCCAGCCCTGGAAGGCCCTGGACCCAGCATTCACTTCCAGGTCACCTGAGGGAACAACAGGACCCACAGGCAGGGGCAGGCACAGGGTGCTCCTCGGGGTTGCAGGGTATGGCGAGATGAGCCATGCGGGTGGAGGGGTCGCAGGGGGCTTGGCAAGATGAGCTGTGCAGCCACACAGGAAATTATGGCCACTGTGTGGTACCTGTGCACTGAGAGCGGGGCCCACAGGCTGGCAGCCCAGACGGGGGTGTGGCCAGTGAGAAGACACAGACGAGATCAGACTGACTTCTCAGCTGCTGACTCTGAACTACTTAGAATATGTAGAAAGGGCGGAAATGATAGAACAGACACACATGTGCCCACACTAAGGAGCTGTGTTAATATTGATGGTATTTGCAGTGTCCCTTGGCCATGGCCCCACCTCCCACCCCTGTGACTGGGGCACTGCCCTCCAGCTGCCAGCCTTTCACAGCAAGTATTTCCACAGACACTGGGAGGTTTGTCCACACTGGTGCCTGCAGGCCTCATAGGTTTGTTTCAGGTGCTCCAGGATATTCCATTGGTTGTATAAACCATAGGGGCAAACTGTGTGTGAGCCCTGGACACCTGCGGGTCAGGCTGCATCCAGCAGGAAGGGCCACTTGCTGTCTGGGTGGTGCTGCTGGCAACACAGTCTTCTATTCTCTCATTTTTTAAAATAAGGAACATATTTCACATTTAAAGAGAAGCAGCAGGCCCGTCTGCCCCAGGTCCCCTTGACCAGCACACTCGGGGCTGGGCCTGGCCAGTGGCTCTCCGTGCTGCCCGCCTGCTCCCCCGGCACCCAGGCCTGCAGATACCAGTGCCAGTGTCACCCCCTCTCCTCCAAAGACCCCCCCAACCGCCCTGCCTGTGGTTGATTTCAGGAGGATTTGATGAAGATGTTAAAGCAAAAATGGAGAACCTTCTTGGGATTTCCAGCCTGGAAATAACAGACCCTGTGAGGCAAGTACACCAAGGCCCTCCCCCTCCCCACCCTCCTCTCCCCTTCCACCTCCCTTGGGGACAGCTGTTCTCAGCAGTGCTCTCTGCAGGGAGGGGGCCAGCTCTTTCCCTGGCAGACGCATCCTTGCCCTTGTCACACAAGTCAGCCTCCATCTGCGCAGCTCTGTGGACATGCTGCTGGAGGGCAATAGGTGAGCATGTGGGTAAGGTGTGGGTGATCAGGCAGGTGTGGGTGGGGAGCAGGTGCGGTAATCGGGCAGGTGTGGGTGGGGGGCATGTGCAGGTGAGCAGGCAGGCATGAGGCAGGTGTGGATGGGGGGGCAGGTGTTGAGGGGGCAGGTGTGGGTGACGGGGGGCAGCTGCAGTTGAGCAGGCAGGTGTAGGTAGGTGGGAGGCAGGTGCGGGTGAGCAGATAGGTGCAGGTGAAGGCAGGTGCACAAGCCCCCCCAACCCCCCACCCCAGCACAGGAGGAGGCAACCTCATCCTTACAAAGACTTTCTGGGGGATATACGACTTAGAAATGTCTATCCAATTCTTACACATTTTCTGAGGTATTACTATAAAGCCGCCCCATGGCTGCCTTGGTAGCACAGCACGACTGTGTGTGGATTTGCCCAGGTACGTAACCGGCTGGTTCAGCCCCTACCACCGCCAGCGGAAGCTCATCCACCCGGTCATGGTCCAGCACATCCAGCCCGCAGCGCTCAGGTGAGACCCTGCAGCCGTGGGTTTCCCAGTGACTGCTGCGCATCCCTTAGCTAGAGTGAAAGCGGAGGAGAGTGAGGGGCGGGCTTCTGGGCTCAGATGTGCAGCTGTCACTGACTTGTTCCTCCCAACACACGGATGAGATAGGGTCAGTAGCCCCATTTTACACAACGTAAACTGAGGCATGAGGCAGTACTAACCATGGGGTTGAGGGCAAGTCCCAAGTATGCATACTGTGTGCTCATGGCACCCTCACCCCTAGCCTCCTGGCACAGTGGAGCACCCTCGTGCAGGAGCTGGAGGCCGCCCTGCAGCTGGCTTTCTACCCTGACGCCGTGGAGGAGTGGCTGGAGGAGAACGTGCACCCCAGCCTGCAGCGGCTGCAAGCTCTGCTGCAGGACCTCAGCGAGGCGGCCGCCTTCCAGCCCCCACCCACCGGCCCTGGTGGGGATGCTGCTCAGGACCCCTGAGGGGAGAGCTTGTGCCTGTGCTGGGGAGGCTCTGTGCTGCCAACTGTCGGCCTGGGCAAAAGGCCCATGTAGGTATCATGCCCTCTGGCTCAGCAGTGTCTGGCCCACACGCAGTTCCTGCGGGCCCTGGGCAGCCCCATGGGGGAGAGACTAGAAAACACAGAAGGAAGCAGCACAGGGAGACCCACTCTGATCTGCACGTACGAACCAATTATGAAATAAAGAGTGGAAGCCACAGTTACACGTGAAGGGTTATTTAAGGCTGCCCCCAGCTTCCAGCTGCTTTCAGTCCCTCCTGCATCCAGGAACACACCACAGCCCTGGGGCTGGTGAGGAGGAAGGGCCAGGACAGCACCGTGTCAGGGAGCTGCCTGGCTGGGACGGCACTGTGTCAGGGACCTGGCGAGGGTGGCTCCCTCTTCCTCACCTAAAGCATCTTCCTACAGCCTGGAGTGAACAAGCCAGAATCCTCAGATGACTGCATTGTACACTTCACTTAAGGAAGAAAAAACATCTCAGGTTTAACCATATAAAAACCTAGTTTTGGGCTGGGCACAGTGGCTCATGCCTTTAATCCAAGCTCTTTGGGAGGCCAAGACGGACAGATCACCTAAGCTCAGGAGTTTGAGACCACCCTGGCCAACATGGTGAAACCCCGTCTCTACTGAAAATATAAAAATTAGCCAGGTGTGGTGGCAGGTGCCTATAATCCCAGCTACTCGAAAGCCTGAGGCAGGAGAATCACTTAGGTAGAGGTTGCAGTGAGCTGAGATCACACCATTGCACTCCAGACTGGGAGATAAGAGCGTTAACTCCATCTCAAAGAAAATCAAAACAAAAAAACTACGTAACTTTGGCATGTTCAGGGGAGCATGTGCCCCGCTAGGGGCTGGCAGCCACTTCTGAGGAGGGTCTCATCCCTTTCCTGTCTGCTCTCACTGAGGCAGCAGCCAGACCTGGGGCAAAGGCGTTCCTGCTCCTAACCAGCCACTCCTGGGGCTGCTGCCTAGGAGCTCACAGGGCTCAGGAGTCCCCAGCTCGGAGGCCATGGCACCAGGCCAGGCACACTGCAACCAGTAGGACCTCAGGAGACCAAGAGCACTGGTGGGCAGGATGGCTGGTGTTCAGCTCCTATGGGGGTCCAGCCCCCTCCCCCCACCAGGTCTTCCCAGGTTCAAGAGAGGCTGGAACTCAATTTCTGCAGAAAGTCTCCCAGTTTTGTTTTGTTTTTGTTTTTTTGTAAAGACTGGATCTTGCTGTGTTGTCCATGCTGGTCTTGAACTCTTGGCCTCCCAAAGCGCTGGGATTACTGGCATGAGCCACTGCACCCAGGCTGGAGCTCCCGGTTTTTAAACGCTGCACAATGTTAGAAGAGCTGACCTGTTTTCTGGCCTAGCAGCTTCTCCTGAGGCTGAGGTGAGGAGAAGAGAGACCCTTCTGTGTCGACAGCTGGGATAGAGCAGTCTGTGCACCAAGATCCTGGCATCAGCAAAATAGGCGGGTCCTTGGGAAGGGGCAGCTTCCACAGTATGGCTGAAGCATGCACAGCCGGGCAGGCCTGGGGGTTCGCCCTTGCTGGCCCTGGGGAAGCACCTGATCCCTGGGGTCATCCACCGAGGGAGGGGACACTGTGTCGGAGACATCGCACAGCACCAGCACCCACGGGAGCCCAGCCCAGCCTCTACTCATCTGAGGTCTCACTTTGGCCCACAGCAGGAGTCAAGGGCTGGCATGACCTCCAGCTGCAGGAAGGCAGGCCCAGGCCTCGCGATAGAGAAAGCCTGGGTGTCCTTTTTGTTTCAGAGGCCGAGGGTGGAGCTGTCCAGTCTGGGCCATGCAGCCCACTGTCTTTACACCCCGAACTGCCCAAGCCAAGGCCACTGTCTTGATTCCCGGAGGACTCGCTAACTTCTGAGCCCCCTTCCCACACCAACAGAGTCCCTGCCCAGCCCCTCAAAGAAGGTCCAGCTTGCTGTTTCACGCAGTGTGAAAGCAGCAGCAGGAGCAGGCAAGAAGCCGACTCAGCTGGAGGTGCCGAATGAGGCCAAGGCTGAGGGTTCTGTGGGTGGTGCTCAGGCACAGGCACACCGGGGCTGTCAGCTCTGGCTCCCAGGGTCGCCGGCCTCACTGTCACTGCTCTGAGACATCTCCATGGGGCTCTCAAGGCAGTGCAGCTCCAAGAAGCTGGTGATGAGCTTGGCAATGGCTTCCACATCACTGGGCAAAGCCGGCAACAGGAGGAAGGTCAGGTCACCTCGGCACAGGGCGCCACAATACCCCACACCAGCCTCCCCCTCAGCCACCCTCCTCCAGCAGCCCCTGGGACTCCCAAACTGGACCCAGCACTTCCTGGCTTGGTCCCACCCCCCCAGCCAAAGTGGGGCTGCCCTGAGCCTGCACACACTTCCCAAGGGCCCCTCTGTGACCCATCCACAAACTTGTCTCCTCTCCCAGCTGCCCCAAAGCTCTGGGCAGTCAGGAACAGGAGTCCCCTCACATGGCGGAAGCTCTGGCCAGATCGAAGTCGCACAGCCTTACCTGCGGTGACCCATGACTGCGCTCTGGGTGAGGGGGTGGGAGAAGCCTGTCGCAAGCCGGAGCACCACCACGTAGCCCTTCCCAAAGTACCGGACCTTCTCCTCCTCCACGCTCACATCACGCACATCCTGCAGCAGGACCACCACTGCAGGGAGACAAACGGTCAGTGGTCAAGCCGTCCCCACCCACACACGCTGCCCGGCAGTCACACCAGGGCCACTGGCGCTATCAAGAGCAACAGACAGGCTTGGTTGGTAGCAAAAGTGTCTGCTGTTCACTGTCTGAGGCTGGGCCCAGAGGATTGCTGTGGCCCTGACAGCAGTACAGGGTCCTCTGGGTGGGAAGTGCAGGCTGGAAGTCTTCTGGGTCCACAGTACAGGCTGGCGGGCCAAGTGCACGGCCTGCTGGTTCTCCTGGGAGTGCCAACGGCAGGCGAGGGCAACATCTTTATGCTGCACTGTTCCTCCAGGTTTCCTCGAGGTTGGCTGCTGAACCAGGGCCACCCTGCAATTTCCTGTGGCCATTCAGGGAAGCCACCTCTCTGGGGACTGGGGTGGCCCCATCCTGCAGCCCCAATGGCTGTCAGAAAACAGCATAGCTGCCTCCCACAGCCCAGGCCAGGCCTGCAGCTCCTCTCCCCAAAGCTGTCGGTGACTTCGGGCCAATGCCCTGGCCAGGTCTTTGCAGGGATCCAGGAAGCAGCCTGTCAGTAGTGCAGCAGGGTGACATCAAACCCAAGACTGCCCAGCGACTCTGGTCGCCCGAATCCGTCCCACCCTCGGGCTGTGCATGGGTGGCCAGACCCTGAGGCCTCTCCACAGGAAACCTGTGCTGACCACAGCTGGGCTAGTGCACAGTTCGTGGTGGGGGTTCCTCAAACCACCCAGCCCCTTACTGCCAGTCCAGCAGAACCCACAGGAAAGCTAGAGGAGCCAAGGCTCTCCCTGCCCTGACCTGTGACCTGCCCTCAGGGGCCAAACTGCACCTGGGGACAAGTGGCTGCTGGGCCAGCAGGAGAGCATGGCTAAACAGGCCAACCGAGCGCAGGTGGGCCAAACCTATCCTCCCACCCTTCCCAGGGGCCAAACCTCTGAAGGATCCAGGAGACTCTAGACCCCGACAAGCAGGTAAAGGCATCCGTGGGACCCTGTGTCCAGCAGGCAGGACTCAACCCTGGTCACCAAGCAGGTGAGCTTGGACCCTCGGCGTTTCCAGGCCCCCCTAGGCCCTGTGAGTCACCCAGACACCCAGAGTGCCATGTCCCTGCACTCCCCTCAACTCACCCTGGTCATGGCCTGCTCTGAAGAGAGTCAGCAGCTTCTTATAGAGGCTGAACGTCTTCAAAACAACCTTCCCCGTGCTCTTGTCAAAGACAGCTTCCTGGAAACCGATACGCACTGACCACCAGGAACCTCCAGGAACAGGGCCCCTCCCAGTCAGAACCCAAACCCTTAAAGCCCCACGTGCTGCTGTGCCAGAGCCAGGCATCTGCAGCCAACCCAACTCCTGGTGGGAAATGTGGAGGAAAGAGGTGAGCAGGTCTTGTGGACACCTGCTTCACTCTGCAAGCAGAACAGACATGTAGGGAGGCAGCGGGATGAGCAAACGAGGGCACGGAGGTCAGAGGGCAGCAGCAGACCAGGCTGAAAGGACTCACGAGGGTCTCTGAGGCGGGAGGGTCGACCACGGGGAAAGCTGACATGCACCCCCTCATGGCAACTTTGGGAAGAATGCACTTTGGGGAAGACAGTCTCATGGAGAGCTTCTAAGAGAAAAATGTCTTCGGGAGACCCCCTGACCAACTATGGCCCCAGGTGAGCCCAGGGCCCAGGTCCCGATGAACAGACACCTCTGAGCAAGGACCAATGCTTCAGGACAGGGAAGCACTAGGTCACCAGGCCTTTCCTCCTCCTCTCATTCCCATTGCAAGAACACCCAGGAGCTGAACGGCCCTGGACTCGTCCTGCACCTGAGCCAACCTTACCTCCCAGTCCTCCAAGTTCTGCACAGCCACGAACAGGCAGCCTGTGACATAGAAGAGCTTCCAGCCCAGGGAATCTGGAGACGGACATAGGGCGCCAGCCTGTGAGTCCCAGGAACTTGCCCACGGGAGGCCCCGCCCAGCACAGCCTCCCCCAGATGCTGGCCAGATGCAAGGCTTACAAGGATCCTCTGGGCAGCTTCCTGTGCTGCCGGCCCTGCCACTCAGGACCCATACGCAGCACACCCACCCAGCTGTGACCCCCAGAGTCCATGTGAGAGGCAGGTGGGGTGTGCAGGGCCTCTGCGCATCTGGGCAGGCCCAGGGATGGTGGCAGGGTGGGAAGTATCCCTCACCCCACACCTGGATCTTAGGCAAATACTCAAGAGCATCTTTCCAAGAATATTTTATGACCCAAAACACAGAAGACTTAAAAAGTGAAATGCAGGCTGGGGGCTGGGGGCTGGGCCGGGATGGGCGTGCCAGAACACCAGCACGTGGAGGACCATGGGGCCCACCAACGATCGAGGGGCAGAGGTGCCTCTCCTAAAGGCTGCCCCATGGACAGTCACAAATGACTTCTATTTCTATTTCCTTCTATTTTCCAAACAGATGAGAAAGTTATGGGGGGTGGGGGGTGCTTTACCTCCACTGTAGTAGGCAGCAGCCAGGCCAATCGATAAGATTCCTAAGAAGAGAAAGTGGCTCCCTGCCTATTGAGCCCCGTAAGCCCCGCCTCCTCCCTGCCTGTTGAGCCCCGTAAGCCCCACCTCCTCCCGACCTGTTGAGCCCCGTAAGCCCCGCCTCCTCCCTGCCTGATGAGCCCCGTAAGCCCCGCCTCCTCCCTGCCTGTTGAGCCCCGTAAGCCCCGCCTCCTCCCTGCCTGTTGAGCCCCGTAAGCCTCCGCCTCTTCCAGGAGCCACAGCCCAATAAGCAGGCCCTTCTCACTGTAGGAACAGCTGTGGTGGGGGGTTACAGACAGGAAGTTGGTTCAAAAAGGCAGTATAGGGGAGGCTGAGGCAGGAGAATTGCTTGAACCCAGGAGGTGGAGGTTGCAGTGAGCCAAGATCGCACCACTGCACTCTAGCCTGGGCGACAGAGTGAGACTCAGTCTCAAAACAAACAAAATCACACACACACACAAATGCAGTATAGTTGAGCATAATATCACACACTTGTAATCCCAGCTACCTAGGAGGCCAAGGCAGCAAGATCGCTTGAGCCCAAGAGTTTGAGACCAGCCTGGGCAACATAACTAGACACCATCACTAAAGAAAAAAACCAAACACAGCATACACTATTCACAGCATTCACTGGACACATCCACCATGGGAGGCTCCAGAGCTGACCCAGGTGTTATTCCAGCAGCACGTGGTGAGGTCTGAAGACTGTGCACAGAGTTACAACACAGTGTGCCATGAAAAACACACAGGAAGCCATGGCGTGTCACAGGAAAGGTGGATCCCAGAGACACAGCTGCTGAGCACAGCTAGCACCACGCCTCCCACCAACCCACCAACACAACTGCAGCTATCCCCTAGGGTACAGGACCCTACTGGTGGGTGGGGACGGAGGACAGGAGGCTAAATGGACTGTGAGTCCTGTGAAGGGGTCTGAGGACCAGGAAAGAGGAGAAATAGGAACCCACGATCACCCATCACATGGTTCAAAACAAGCGCAAAGGCAAATATGGTGACCTCGGAAAAGCTCATGGAGTATGAATGAAATACTCTGGGTATTAATGGTTAAAAGGGAACCAGACAGACATGCATTATCTATAAAACCAAGTGGATACAAAGAAACAAAATAGCTGTTAGATTTCAGGGTAACAGAAAAAAAAGAAGAAATACTTTGTTTCATTTTCATCCTTTTTGAAAGTTTTCTAGTTCTAGGGTTCTGGGGAGGGATGTGGAGAGCCTTACCAACCAGCAGGGACCAGGACCGGATGCCTGGAGCCCTCTTCAGATGGAGGCGGGCGCTGGTGCGTGTCTCCACTTGCATGTACATCCCGGGGACAGCGGCACCACTCTCTACAGGAGGAGGGGTCTGGGGACAGATATAGGCAGCTTTGCCCTTGGGCCTGCCCACAGGCAGGCACCCACGCCATCAGGCCCAAACCGGCGGCCAGGAGCAGGCCCCCCAACAAACCACCTGCAGCCCCAGACACCATCAGCCAGTGTGACCTGGTCTTTGCGGCTGGTCATACCACTGGATCCCCCACAGATCCCGTTTCCTGTGTAAGGAAAGCCCTCTTCCGTTCACAGTGACACCTACTGCACGGAGGCTGCTTCCCCCTCAGACTCACGAACGGCAGCTGCATCACTACCTGCCCCTGTCGTATCTGGAAACCTTAGGTCTTGAGTCCGCCTGCCCCCAGCAGCCTTCGAGCGTCTAGCACCTATCAGCACCCACTCTCCCCTGCGCTGGCCTCCACCAAGAAAGGGAACTGAAAGTCCTATCGTGGCTTCAGCCGTACTGGCATGGACCAAGAATATCAGCTCTCTCTCTGCCTTCCTCCACCTGCTGAAAGCTCAGAGGGTCCGAAAATGGCCAGAACCAATGAGTCACCGAAGGGGCGAATCCTCCACAGGGGAGTTCTGCGAGGGCTCCAACAGCCCTGCCAGCTTAACAGTACGCTCCAAACAAAGGCTCCAGGGACCCCGTTCTGGGGAGTTTCTCAGGGATTTCTCTGTAAAGTCGAATCAAATTTCTGACATTAAATAGGGGATTCAGTCCAGGCGCGGTGGTTCATGCGTGTAATCCCAGCACGATGCAGGCGGATCGCATGAGTCCAGGAGTTCAAGACCAGAGGAACGTGTGAAACTCCGTCTCCACAAAACAATATTTAAAAATTAGCCCGGTGTAGTGGTGCACGCCTGTGCTGCTAGCTATCAGGCTGAGCTGGATCACCTGAGCCCAGGAGGTGGAGGCTGCAGTGAGCCGAGATCCTGCCACTGAACTCCAACCTAGGTGGCAGAGTGAGAACCTGCCTGAAAAAAATACAAGTGGGTTCAAATCACACAAACCAATCCTAGGTGCTGGTTCGTGACTGGGCTCCCTCCCGGGCCTCAGTTACCGCATTGCTCCCCAGGCGCCCCCGCATTCCACACACAAATGCACACACACAAACACACACGCGCTGGCAGAGCCGCCCGCGCCGCTGGTCGCACCAGAGCGCTGGTTTCTTTGTCCGGGTTGAGGGCGCTCCCCTACGCCGGGCCAACCTACAGCGGGCACAGCGGGACACGCACGGCCGGCAGGCGGGTCCAGGACGCAGACCCCGCCCGGAGTGAGCTCAAGGGCGCCGGGACACGCGGCACGGAGCGGGAGGGAAGCGCGGAGCCCGCCCAGCCCAGCCGCCTACCGAGATCACGGCGGTCCCCGGGCGACAGCAACAGGACGAGAACCGGCGGGAGGCGGGGCCGCGCGCACTTCCGGGATTGAGGGCGGGGCCTCGCGCACTTCCTGGATGGGGCGAAGCCGAGCGGACTTCCAGGATCCGGGCGAGACCCAAGTACTTCCGGGATCCGGGCGGAGCCTCCGGAAGAGGTGGGTGGTTCTACTTTTCTTGGAAAAAAAGAAATGTCGGGGAAACCGTATCTGAAAGCAAAGAACTTACAAAAATTATGGGCGTCTTGTCAACATAGAAACGTAACCGAAGCGGTTCTCATTGCCAAAAAAGAAGATTTGAGTATAAGAACAGTAATTCCAATGAATTGAAAATCCTCAGGTGCTCCAGTATGTAATTCATAATAATGTATTTTTTAACTCTTTTCACTTTTGGAGGGTGCTGACAAACTCACCCCAGTTTGTGTCCTGGTTAATAAAAGGAAAGCATCTAGCATTTGTCCTGCCTTTATGAAATTTACAGCAGAGTAACCAAATACTGCACGGGAAGATTTTCTCATTATAGAAGTTTTCCCGCTAATAAATGAAGAAGAAACAGTAGGAAAAAAACATCACCCTGTGAATTATTGGACCTAGGCAATGTCATCAATGACTGCTAATTAACATCAGAAAAAGGTAAGTTAGATAACAGAAGTACACAACACCACCTATGAAGTAGTCTTGCCAGAAAAAATTTAACCCGAATTTGAACAAGCTTCTAGAGTGAATTACTGGAAATCTGGAAGACAAGAATGTACTAAAGGATTCTACAAGGATACACTCAGTAATTGCAGGTGTAAACCAAAAATAAAATTCTAACTTGCAACAATCTGACTAGACCCTGCCTATTGGCTAAGGGCATTTCAAAGTTATCCTGAAACATTGGATCAGGCAGTGATGGGAAAGGGGAGACTGACATACCTCGCTCCCTCCTCCCTGTTGGAATTCAGCCACACAGCTGACCAGCATTAACATTAAAACAGATCTTGAGGCTGCAAAGTAGATTCTGTAGCAATGACACCAAATTCCAGCCTGACTCCGGTACAGGATCACATGACAGATAACAGGCCTAAAAGAAATCTAAGTACTTTACCCCACATTACATTGATTTAATGTATTTTGAAATAGCCCTGCAAAGCTGTCCCTTGTGAGGAAAATCTACATTCTATTTTTTTTTTTAATTTTTTTTTTTTTGAGACAGAGTTTCACTCTTGTTACCCAGGCTGGAATGCAATGGCGCGATCTCAGCTCACTGCAACCTCCGCCTCCTGGGTTCAGGCAATTCTCCTGCCTCAGCCTCCTGAGTAGCTGGGATTACAGGCACGTGCCACTGTGCCCAGCTAATTTTTAGTAGAGACGGGGTTTCACCGTGTTGACCAGTATTTTTAGTAGAGATGGGGTTTCACCATGTTGACCAGGATGGTCTCGATCTCTTGACCTTGTGATCCACCTGCCTCGGCCTCCTAAAGTGCTGGGATTACAGGCTTGAGCCACTGCGCCCAGCCGAAAATCTACATTCTATAGAGAATTGCTGTTCCTTTCCAGGTTTTCTCCTGCTCCAGGAAGTAATTAACTCTGATAAGAAGCACAATCCAGCTGGGTGCAGTGGCTCACACCTGTAATCCCAGCACTTTGGGAGGCCAAAGTGGGCGGATCACAAGGTCAGGAGTTTGAGACCACTCTGGCCAATATGGTGAAACCCCATCTCTATTTAAAAAGAGAGAGAGAGAGATGGAGTCTCATTCTGTCACCAGGCTAGAGTGCAGTGGTGTGATCTCAGCTCACAACAACCTCTGCCTCCCAGGTTCAAGTGATTCTCCTGCCTCAGCCTCCCAAGTAGCTGGGATTACAGACACATGCTACCATACCCAGCTAATTTTTGTATTTTTAGTAGAGATGGGGTTTCACCATGTTGACCAGGATGGTCTTGAACTCCTGACATGATCTGCCTGCCTCAGCCTCCCAAAGTGCTGGGTTTACAGGCATGATCCACCAGGACTAGCCGTCTCTTCAAATATTTTACAGTTTGACTCTTTTTGTCAAAATGGGAACCCCTACAGGCAACTGATCTGATTTTTAAATAATATATACAAAGAACAACAACTTTAAGATCAGGAACTCAGCAATTTTTTTTTTTTTTTTTTTTTTTTTTTACAAAATCCCACTGTTGACCAAGTTGGAGTGCAGCAGCACCATCTCGGCTCACTGCAACTCTGCCTCCCACGTTCAAGTGATTCTCCTGCCTCAGCCTCCTGAGTAGCTGGGAATATAGGCATGTGCCACCATGCCCAGCTAATTTTTTTATTTTTTGTAGAGACAGGGTTTTGCCATGTTGGCCAGGCAGGTCTCAAACTCCTGACTTCAGGTGATCAGCCCACCTAGGCCACCCAAAGTGCTGGGATTACAGATATGAGCCATCATGCCCAGCCTGAACTCTGCCACTTCTAAGTAGGCTTCACGTTATGTCAAAATCAAGTTGTTTTTCAACAAAAAGAGACTTTTCAATGTCTTCCATAAGTTCATAGAAAAAAAAAGAGAGACTTAAGAAACATATAAACCATTTGTACTACAGACAAATAGATCATACTAGACCTTATTTAGATCCTGATTTAAACAAACTGTAAAAAAAATTATGAGACAATGTGGAAAACTGGACATTGGATATTTGATTTAAAAATTAACTGATTTCAATTTGTTCCTTTAGCCATATTACAATTATGTTTTTATTTTATTTATTTTTATTATTTTATTTTAGAGATGGAGTTTCACTCTTGCTGTCCAGGCTCGAGTGCAATGGCGCAGTCTTGGCTCATTGTACCCCTGCCTCCCGGGTTCAAGCAATTCTCCTGCCATAGCCTCCCCAGTAGCTGGGATTACAGGCATGCATCACCACGCCCAGCTAATTTTTGCATTTTTGGTAGAGATGGGGTTTCACCATGTTGGCCAAGCTAGTCTCAAATTCCTGGCCTCAGGTGATCCACCCACCTCAGCCTCCCAAAGTGCTGGGATTACAGGTATGAGCCACTGTGTCTTGCCAGTTATATTTTTTAAACATTAACAAAAAAGATATACAAATGTCAACCTAAAATTATCCTTTTACTCAAGTTGAAGTTGAGGGGAGATGTTTTGAGAGATGCTGACATGAATTTGAGTAATCCAGAGGCTTAACACTTGCTGAATTTTATTGACGCATTTGTAAAAAGCTATAGAAACTGAATACTGTAAAGATGGAATTTCACTTGTTGCTCAGGCTGGAGTTCAATGGTCTGACCTCGGCTCACTACAACCTCTGCCTCCCAGGTTCAAGCGATTCTCCTGCCTCAGCCTCCCAAGTAGCTGAGCTTACAGGCGCCCACCACCACACCAGGCTAATTTTCTATTTTTATTTATTTATTTATTTATTTTGAGACGGAGTTTCGCTGTTGTTACCCAGTCTGGAGTGCAATGGCACGATCTCGGCTCACCGCAACCCCTGCCTCCTGGGTTCAAGCAATTCTCCTGCCTCAGCCTCCTGAGTAGCTGGGACTACAGGTGCCCACCACCATGCCCAGCTAATTTTTGTATTTTTAGTAGAGACGGGGTTTCACCTTGTTGACCAGGATGGTCTCAATCTCTTGACCTCGTGATTCACCCGCCTCAGCCTCCCAAAGTGCTGGGATTATAGGCATGAGCCACTGCGCCCGGCCAATTTTCTATTTTTAAAAGAGACAGGGTTTCACCATGTCAATCAGGCTGATCTCAAACTCCTGACCTAAGGTGATCCCCCTGCCTCTGCCTCCCAAAGTGCTGGGATTACAGACATGAGCTACTGTGCCAAGCCAAAAATATTTTTAATAGAAAACAATTCGCAATACAGTAAGGTTAGGAGAAAAAGTAAAATTTAAAAACATTAAAAGATTCTAGTGGGTTTTCTAGAACTGGAATAGTCTTAAATATTTATTTGGACTTTGTGACCCCCAGAGGTAAAGGGGATGTTTGCTTCAACTTGTTTTTGCTTTTTTTTTTTTCTGAGACAGCGTTCTGTTCCATCACCCAGGTTGGAGTACAATGGTGCAATCTCAACTCACTGCAACCTCCGTCTCCCGGGTTCAAGTGATTCTACTTCCATAGCCTCCCAAGTAGCTGGGATTACAGGCATGTACCACCACATCTGGATTTTTTTGTATTTTTAGTAGGTACAGGGTTTCACCATGTTGTCCAGGCTGGTGTCAAACTCCTGACCTCAACTGATTCACCTGCTTTGGCCTTCCAAAGTGCTGGGATTACAGGTGTGAACCACGGTACCCAGCCTCAACTTGAAGTGTCAACTTGAAATTGCCTTTGCAAAGATTAAGACAGTGAGAGAGGGTGCGTGTAGTGGCTCACACCTGTAATCCCAGCACTTTGGGAGGCTGAGGTGGATCACTTGAGTCCAGGAATTCAAGAACAGCCTGGGCAACATGGGGAGACCCTGTATCTGCAAAAAAATTAAAACTTAGCCAGGATGGTGGTGCAAGACTGTAGTCCCAGCTACCTGGCAGGGCTGAGGCTGCAGTGAACTGTGATCATGCCACTGCATTCCAGCCGAGGTAATAGAGTAAGACCCTGTCTCAAAAAAAAAAAAGATTCACAGTTAACCTCCATCATCCTTCTAACATCCCAGCTGTCCTTGGTTATTATGGGGCATAAGCCAAGCTAATTTTGGGAGGAATTTATAGTTTAACCCAAGGATGATAAATAGTCCCTTCCTAAAACTATGGCCTCCCTCTTCTGGGGCTGAAACTGCGTTTGTAAAGCTAATGAAAGGCCACAAGATTAGGATTGTGGGAGGGGCCTGCCCTCTGCTAAAATATCAGCATACTTTCTACAATCCATTACTGCTCAGGATTCACATGGCCAGAGATCACAAGATTTGCACCTTCCCCAATTGCACCTAAAGATAATATCAGTATTTGTAGAAACTAAGATTGGTTTTTTGAGATGTTTTTCAGTGAACCCACCCCAACCTGTGACTCAGGATTCAACTGGTTCCTGTGGCCCCACCCAGAGGCTGACTCAGTGCTTGAGGACCATTTTACACACCCTTGTGATTTCATCCCCAGCCAATCGGCAGCACTCATTCTCTAACCCCCTGCCCACCAAATTGTCCACAAAAACCCTAATCTGTGAGCCTTTGGAGAGACTGATTTGAGTAATAACTCTGTGCCCTGTGTGGCCAGTCAGGTGCCAGTTAAACTCTTTTGTTCCTGTCATGCTGCAGTCTCAATGAATTGACTTTGTGCAGCAGGCAGGAGGAACCTGATGGGCCGTGGCAACCTGAAGAATGATGAGATTCATAAACTTGGAAAGGAGAGCTTTATTTCTCTCCTTTAAACCCCTCTGTTTATTTAAACCACTCCAGGGTTTCAGCCTGGAGGGTGGCCATTCTGACAGGCAGGGAAGCTGCCTCTGGCCAGAAGCCAGAAATTGACACTTCCAGGGAGGGGTAAGGGAACAGGAATCTATGCTGAGTGGTGTGTAAACATACATATTTAGCAAGCTACAGAAGGAGTCATGAATATTTTTGAAAAGAGAAACATACACAAGCACAGCAAAGCTTCAGGCCCCTTCTTGAGGGGCAGGTAGTCTGGTTATAACCACTCCAGGGTCAGTGGTTTCTTATTAGTAAGGAATACTGGTCAGCTGTGTTGAAACTGCAAACCAAAGGCTGTTACCAGTGGTGGAGTCTTTGGAAAGGGCTAGTTTTCATTAAGCTCTTAGCAAAGAAAGCCTAACGGTAGTTATCTAAGGCTGGGGCATGACAACATCTGTTCTCCCATCTGTCATGGCTGAGAACTCTCAAGGTTACCCTGGGATCTCCTTAGCCAAGAGGGGCTCCCTGCAGTCAGTTGGGGTGCTTTGGATTTCATTTCATTTCTCAGAGGACAGGAAGACAGGCTCTAATATGGGGAATCCTGAGAACTGCTGGTGTCTGTTAAAAACACCTACAAGTTATTTTTCTTATGCCACACTCTTCCAGACATGTTCTTTCCATTTCTGATTTCGTAAAGTTCATAATTATCAGAAGAGTCCAATACTTCCATTATAGCCCTGTATCAGTGCTTTGCTTAGCTGAAATCATTTTCTTGGAGGAATAATTATTATTCTTTGTAAGGTGTAAGGGCCCAAATCAATGTACTTAGTAAAATTATCCACAGGAACGCACGTGAATGTCAAAAGGCCATCATTTAGCATCTCCCCTCGTGCTTCCGGGTCCATCACTCGTGGTTCCTCCCAGGCACGCCGCGCACGCGCGCTATCACCGCGCCGGGCCTACGTGACACGCCATGAAGCGGCCATGGCGACGGACGGGGGCTGTGCCCCCCAACCCTGCCCCGCCCTGTCCGGTCAGGAGCCGCGAGTAAGGCAAGTGTTAGACACAGGGCTGGCTGAGTGAGCTCGGCCGTGGCCTCCGCGAGCCCAGGGGTCTGCGGGCCCCGTGATCGCCGGACCACGCACACTGGAACGGCCTCGGCTTGGTCTCGGGACACTCCTCGCGTTCACCCACTACCTGGTGAACGCAGCTTAGCCGCCGCCGCAGGACCCGCGAGAAGCGGAAACCAGTGCAAGGACCCGGGCCGCGCGGCGCAGTGCGTGGATGAGGCTGCGCTCCGCCCCGCGCACTCCAATTGGCTCTGGGGCCTGGCCCGCCCCTTCCAGACACTATCATTGGCCTAGACGAACCCGGGGATTTGGGGGGGGGGCACGCTGCCTCCTATTGGTCCAGGGGCGCGGCCTGTCCTCTCCCCGTGCTCTGATTGGCCGAGAGCTGCCGTTGGGGTGAGGACGCGCCGGGGGAGGACAACAAAGGGCCGCGGGCGGCTGGTAACGGTGTCCACCTCTCCCGGTGCTTTCCTCAGTCTGAGGCGCTCGGCCTGCCGCCCGCCGCCCGCCGCCCGCCGCCCGCCGCGCTCCAGATGAAGTGTGAGCACTGCACGCGCAAGGTGAGCGGCCGGGGAGGCTCGCGTCTGGTGCCTGTCCCGTGGGGCTCCGGGCGGCCGGGGTTGGCGGCCCGGGACGGCCACTGGCTCGCGCGGGGCTCTCCCAGGCGCCCCCGGCCTTGGCACCCCGGGCCCTCTCGGCGTGGAGGTGGCCGGCGCGGGGTCAGCTGCGTTCTTCAGGGTGGGCTCGGTTTTCTGGCGCGGAAACGAACGGAGGCTGAGCCTCGGGCCGCTCAGCACAGTCCGAGTGAACAGCGGTCGCGGCGGGAATTCATCGGAGCGTTTCGAGGGGTTTTTAGGCGTTTTCAAACCTGCCCCGCTGAGGGTCCCAGAGCGGCCGGGGCGGGGGCGGAAGCGGGTGGCGGCTGCTGACCGGCGCCTCCCGGCCGCGGCCAAGACCGCGCAGCGGACGCAGGGGGATTTTGTAGCCGTTGTGACCGAGACGGGCTCCTGGGGATGCCGCGCTGGGGCTTGCTCTTCTCTCCAGAACGCCGCGCGGGAGTCTCCCCAGCGCTACGCGCAGTGGTTCATCCCCCGTGGCGGCCGCGTCGCGTTCGCGCGTAGACCTGTGTCCAGGCAGGTTAACCTGTAGGGAAGGCTGGTGTTACCGCTGGTTTTTATTATCGCAAACAATAGAAGTGTGTGTCTGTCCTTAGTACCTGCGTTTTTGTTTCAGTAGAAAGGGTAAAAGGCCGGCGCGGTGGCTCCCCACTGTCATCCCAGCCCTTTGCGGGGCCGAGGCAGGCGGATCACCTGAAGTCAGGAGTTCGAGACCAGCCTGACCAACATAGTGAAACCTCGTCTCTACTAAAAATACAAAAAGCAGCCGGGCGTGGTGGTGCGCGCCTGTAATCCCAGCTACTCGGGAGGCTGAAGCAGGTGAATCGCTTGAACCCGGGAGGCGGAGGTTGCTGTGAGTCGAGATCTCGCCCCTGCAGTCCAGCCTGGATGAGAGTGAGACTCGGTCTCAAAATAAATAAACAAGAATTAAAACTAAAGAAAGGGTAAAAATACATGATGAGTAGGCCGGGCGCGGTGACTCAAGCCTGTAATCCCAGCACTTTGGGAGGCCGAGGTGGGTGGATCACGAGGTCAAGATACTGAGACCATCCTGGTCAACATGCTGAAACCCCGTCTCTACTAAAAATAACAAAAAAATTAGCTGGGCATGGTGGCGCGTGCCTGTAATCCCAGCTACTCAGGAGGCTGAGGCAGGAGAATTGCCTGAACCCAGGAGGCGGAGGTTGCGGTGAGCCAAGATCGCGCCATTGCACTCCAGCCTGGGTAACAAGAGCCAAACTCCGTCTCAAAAAAACAAAGAAAAAGAAAGAAAGAAAAATAAATGATGAGCTTAATTGGTCAGACAGTGCACATTTTCTTTAATTCTTTTTTTTTTTTTTTGAGACAGTTTCCCTCTGTCATCCAGGCTGGAGTGCAGTAGCATGATCTTGGCTCACTGTAACCTCCACCTTCCTGGTTCAAGCGATTCTCTTGCCTCAGCCTCAGGAGTAGCTGGGAATACAAGCACATGCCACCACACCCGGCTAATTTTTTGTATTTTTAGTAGAGAGAAAGATTCACCATGTTAGCCAGGGTGGTTTCCATCTCCTGACCTGTTGATCCGCCCTCCTAGGCCTCCCAAAGCATTGGAATTATAGGCGTGAGCCACCGCACCTGGCCAGAGTGTGCACTTTTTCTCAACAGAGACGAATTAAAAGTTCATTAATAATGTTTCTTTGCTTTTTTAAGGAATGTAGTAAGAAAACAAAAACTGATGACCAAGAGAATCTGTCAGCTGATGCACCGAGTTCAGCCCAGGAAAATGGAGAGGCAAGTAGATTTTTCAGTTTTGTGTCAGCCCAGGGTAACTTGTTCTTACTGTTTTTCTCTTTGGGGACTCACAACACCATGTACATCACTGCTTTAAAGAAGACTGAAGTATGGCTGGTGTGGTGGCTCATGCCTGTAATCCTAGCCCTTTCGGAGGCTGAGGTGGGTGGATCACTTGAGGTCAGGAATTCGAGACCAGTCTGGCCAACATGGTGAAACCCCATCTTTACTAAAAATACAAAAATGATCTGGGTATGGTGGTGCATGCCAGTAATCCCAGCTACTCAGGAGGCTGAGGCAGGAGAATTGTTTGAACCTGGGAGGCGGAGGTGGCAGTGAGCTGAGATCGCACCACCATACTTCAGCCTGGGCGACAGAGTGAGACTCTGTCTCAGAAAAAGAAAAAACTGAAATAAAACTTTAAGAGACTACTAACTACATGTGTAAGACAGACGGTTGGTGGCACAAGGCCTGTCTTCTCAGAGCACACTATGCCAAAATACACTGCATTAGGAACAAAGAAAATGTGGTGTAACATTGAATTTCTTTTATTTTTTACCACCTTTTGAGACAGGGTCTCATTGTCACCCAGGCTGGAGTGCAGTGGCTCACTGTATGGCTCACTGCAGTCTCAACCTCCCAGGCTCATGTGATTCTCCTGCCTCAGCGTCCCTAGTAGTTGGGACTACAGGTATGCACCACCATGCCCAGCTAATTTTTTTTTATTTTTGGGCAGAGATGGAGTTCCACTGTGTTACCCAGGCTGATCTTGAACTGCTGGGCTCAAATGATCCTCCTGCCTCAGCCTCCTTAAGTGCTGGGATTATAGGCATGAGCTACTATACCCAGTCCCAGCTGATTTTTTTAAAATAGGAAACTGCATTTTATAAAATGGGTATTGAGATGGGTAATTAATAAAACAACTCAAATTTCATGATTCTGTAGTAGTCAATTTTTCTAATGGTTTCCTTTTTTTTTTTTTTTTTTTTTTTTTTTTTTTTGAGGTGGAGTCTTACTCTTGTTGCCCAGGCTGGAGTACAGTGGCATGATCTCACCTGACTACAACTTTCACCTCCCAGGTTAAAGCAGTTCTCCTGCGTCAGTCTCCCAAGTAGCTGGGATTACAGGCGCGAACCACCATGCCTGGGTAATTTTTTGTATTAATTAGCCTGACCAACATGGTGAAACCCTATCTCCACTAATTAATACAAAATTAGTAGAGATGGGGTTTCACCATGTTGGTCGGGCTGGTCTCAAACTCCTGACCTCAGGTGATTCACGCGCTTCAGCCTCCCAAAGTGCTGGGATTACAAGTGTTAGCCACTGCACCCAGCCTCTTTTCTATTCTAGCTCAGTTTTCATTTTTACATTCTCCTTAGCTAGTATTCATGGTTTCTCGTTATTGGATATGTACTCTGAGCCTGGCTCTCAAGAATGTGATTTTGCCGGGCATGGTGGCTCACGCCTATAATTCCAGCACTTTGGGTGGCTGAGGCGGGCGAATCACCTGAAATCAGGAGTTTGGGACCAGCCTGACCAACATAGATACACCCTGTCTTTATTAGAACTACAAAATTAGGCCGGGCACAGTGGCTCACACCTGTAATCCCAGCACTTTGGGAGGCCGAGGCAGGTGGATCACAAGGTCAGGAGTTTAAGACTAGCCTGGCCAAGATGGTAAAACCCTATCTCTACTAAAAATACAAAAAATTAGCCAGGCGTGGTGGCGAGCGCCTGCAATCCCAGCTACTTGAGAGGCTGAGGCAGAGAATTGCTTAAACCCAGGAGGCGGAGGTTGCAGTGAGCTGAGATTGCGCCACTCCAGCCTGGGCGACAGAGCAAGACTCTGTCTCAAGAAAAAAAAAAAAAAATTAGCCAGGCGTGGTGGCACATGCCTATAATCCCAGCTACTCGGGAGGCTGAGGCAGGAGAATTGCTTCAATCCAGTAGGTGGAGGTTGCGTTGAGCCAAGATCATGCCATTGCACTCCAGCCTGGGCAACAAGAATGAAACTCCGTCTCAAAAAAAATGTGATTTTACATGCAGTCTCATTTCATGCCCAGAAGCAGCGTTACACGGAAGTCCTGCCATTATCCCTGTTTTACTGAGTGAAGGGTATTGGGAGAGACTAAGGTCACTCTACCCTTCAAAGAACTAGTACCAGTTTATTAATGGAGAGTTGGTAATATGACAGAAGCATATTTTCTCCTTAAATTTAGTAGTTTTGCTGTGTTTAATCTAACAGGTGTTCTTCTGGTTGCCCTGTGAGCTAGTGCTGTGCTGTGGGGGCTGTGGGGCTTAGGGAACAGCAGGGCTTGAGACAAGCACCCAAAGAGCTGGCCACAGGCAGAAGAGAGATAGGATGCCTTGGAGCCCTGGAGCCAGCTGGGGCCAGTGCGCCTGAGTGGCTGGACCCAGGGCCTCCCACACCTGCCCTTTGGTTGTGTCATCTTGGACAGATATCTAACCGCTGTGCGCTTCATATCCTTTTCAGAGGCATGGGGAGTAGGATTACTTCCCTCCCAGGACTGGTGGGGATGAGATAATGCATGTACACAGCCTGAGCGGGCGCCCTGCCCGATCAGTGGTAGACACAATTAGGGTGAGAGGGGTTGGGTTGGAGTTAATGGAGTGGACCCTAAAGGGTGGTCAGAATTCAGGGTGGGAATGTAGGGAAGGGCACTGGAACTCCAGGCAAGAGGAAGGTGTGGACAGACATGCTCTGGGGAGGAACAGTGGCTCCCCTTGGCCAGGTCATTGACAGTGCAGAGCTCTGGAGACTGTGTATGGGGATGATTCAGGTGTTTGTTTCAGAGCAGGTGATGGAGACAACTGACTTAAGCTGGGTGGAGTAGGGGAAGAATTGCAGGAAGCCACTTAGTGGCAGCTTTGAGAGTCTTGGTGAGGTGGTGGGCCTGGGCAAGTCTGCCACAGGGGTAGAGACAGGAGGAAATAGTGCAGGGAAGGGAGTGCAATTTGAGCTCCACAGACAATGGGCCTTCTGTAGTGTGTGAGTCTGGGGTTGGGAGAGGAGAAAACATGGAAGTGCAGATGGCCGGGCTGCCCTGGGCAGAGTGAGGCCAGTGGGCCTGATAAAAGGGAGCAGGCTTCTGCAGAATGCACCAGTATGGAAGGCAGGAGGAGTAAGAAGAAAGAATGTGAGGAGTGAGGTGGGAATCAGACCTGGACCATGAAAACTTACCTGGAAGGACTGGGGTATACCCAGCATGTCTGGTGGCAAGGCAGGGAGGATGCACTGCTGGGTGGGGGGTACAGTTTGGTCATGGGCACCTTGATGGGGATGGGCTGTGGAGGCAGAATTCGTGCAGCTACAGGCACCAGACTCTTGGAGTGGAGCAATTGCTTTGACCCACTTGGACCTTGTTAGAAGCACAAACTGTTGAGCCTCATGCGGAGCTCCTGAGTGTCCATCTGCATCAGAGTAAGATCTCAGGGTGAGTAGGCTTCACAGGGACATGGGGTCATGCGTAGGCAGGAGGCAAAGGTGACACCTGAGCTGCCATTCATAGTGTGCTATGGAAGGAAGGGGCACATCCACAGCTGTCTCCTATCAAAGTTTTAAAGAAAAACAAATGCATGGACTACCTGAGGAGTTTTTGTAATTTATTGGCATTACTCCAGTAAGCTTCAGAGTATCCATATGTGCATTCACCAGTTACTTGTGGAGCACTTTCTGTGTACAGTACCTTTTGGAGATGCAGGGGAACAAGAAAACAAGACAGTGTTCGAAGAACTCTCATGAGCTTACATGGTAGCAAGGAGGGACAGACAGCTGCTAGCAGTCAGCTGTATGAAAACAGATGGGTGGGGAGGGAAGAGAAGGGTGAGGGGGTGGCGCTGTCTTTGCTGAAGGCCCCCAGGGTTGGCCTGGGCTCTCATGGAGCGCTTCATACTGAGGGATGGCGAGAGCATGGGGCCAGTGGGTTGGACGTGTGCAGCCCAAGGGGGCTGTGATGGGACCCAGGTAGACGGGCCTCTGGCCATGCTCAGGCCCTCTGTGTGAGGGGCAGCTGTTTGAGCAGAGGTGTGGTTTATGTTTTAGCAGATGTCGCGGGGCACAGGGACCAGTCAGGAAGGAGAGGGTAGAGGGCATCAAAGAGTGACTCTGCATCCAGGTGAGGATGAGTATCTTGTTACGTGTCCAAGTGCAAACCCAGAGCCAGCACTGAGTTCTATAAATTCTGAGCCTCAAGGGAGAGGCCAGGGCTGTGGGCAGCCTCAGGGAGCTGTTGGACGGTAAGCTAGCGGAGTGGTCAGAGGCTGGATCACAGGCACCGAAGAGGAAGGGGTTTAGGAGGAGGGAAGGGCCAGTGGGGTCAGCTTCCAGAACACTGAAGTGTCATTTACTTCCTACCTCATGACAGTGCTAGGGCTGGGTTCCACCCTTGTCATCTGCATGGCTCCCTAGTATCATCATGAGCTGGGCCCTGTGCCCCTCCACCATCTTGAGTTGCTCAGGGGCAGAGACTGTCCTGCTTCCAGCCCCTTGATAACCAGTCCTGGCCCTTGGTATTGTCTCCAGTGTTTACCCTCTCTAAAGAAGCACATTCAAGAGCATTTGTTGAATAATCACACAAAAACGTCTTTTTTTCATAGAAGGGAGAATTCCACAAGTTGGCTGATGCCAAGATATTTTTGAGTGACTGCCTGGCATGTGACAGCTGTGTGACTGCAGAGGAAGGAGTCCAACTTTCCCAGCAAAATGCCAAGGACTTCTTCCGTGTTCTAAACCTTAATAAGGTAAGGCATTCAGGGCATTTGCTGATGCTTGGGAGCTGACCTGAGGAGGTCAAGATGAGGCCTTGCTTCCTGCACAGAAGCCTCTGTGGGGACATCGGATGTACATCTCAGCCTTTTCCCTGTGTTGCTAACGTCTCTCTTTGACCTTTTTCCAAACCTTTCCATCAATCAGTGTCATGCTCCCTCTTTTTTTTTTTTTTTTTTTTTCCTTTTTTTTTTGAGACGGAGTTTTACTCTTGTTGCCCAGGCTGGAGTATAATGGTGCGATCTCCACTAACCGCAACCTCCGCCTCCTAGGTTCAAGTGATTCTCCTGCCTCAGACTCCTGAGTAGCTGGGATTACAGGCATAAGCCACCACGCCCAGCTAATTTTGTATTTTTGGTAGAGACGAGGTTTCTCCTTGTTGGTCAGGCTGGTCTTGAACTCCTGACCTCAGGTGATACACCCACCTTGGCCTCCCAAATATTGGGATTATAGGCTTGCTTGATCCACTGCACCCGGCCTTCATGCTCCCTTAACGATGCTCAGGCAGTGGCGAGGGGACCGGCACTACCCCTCAGGCTCCTGTGGCTTAAGTGGGGCCTCTGCCTGTTGAGGTCAGGTAACACAGGTGATGGAGATCATGCAAGCAGCACAGAGCTGGAGTTCATGCCGTTCTGCCTCTGCAGCATGTTTTTGGAGACAGGAGTTATGTTTTAATAGACCTATCAGCTTGAGACAAGGCAGAGACACTCCAAGGAAGTATGAATTCCCACAACTCCTTCCTAGCTCATCCCAACAGACCTCCTATACAGAACTAGAGGTACCTCTTGTCATTCCATGAGACAGGTTGTATTAGTCCATTCTCACACTGCTATGAAGAAGTACGTGGCACTGGGTAATTTATAAAGCAGAGAGATTTAATTGACTCCCAGTTCCACAGGCTCCACAGGAAACATGGTTGGGGAGGCCTCAGGAAACTTAACAATCATGGCAGAAGGGGAAGGGGAAGCATGCATATCTTCACGTGGCAGCAGGAGAGAGCAAGTGAAGGGGGAGGTACTGCACACTTGCAAACAACCAGATCTCATAAGGACTCCCTCGCTATCACGAGAAGAGCAAGGGGGAAATATGACCCAGTCACCTCCCGCCCGGCCTTCAGTTACACATGTAATTTGGATGGGGACGCAGAGCTAAACCATATCACAGGTGAAAAAGAAAGAACGAGACAAAAGCAGATGAGGCTGAAAAGCACATCTTGCTTTACATGCTGTCACCTCCCAGGAAGCATTAGCATCCTACTTTGCCCAGGGAGTATGGGCCCATTCACAGTAGGTAGTATGCTACAGCAAGGTGGGGGCCTTGAGAAACGCTGACTGGTGCAAGTGTCGTGGAAGAATGGACAGCCAAGTAGCCTTCTCAGCATCTACCACTCACCCTCATAGCATCTTCTGGACGAATCATCCAGCATCAGTTAGATTACAGTTTTTTTTTTTTTTTTGAGATGTAGTCTTACTCTGTCACCAGGCTGGAGTGCAATGGTACAATCTCGGCTCACTGTAACCTTCACCTCTGGATTCAAGCAATTCTCCTGCCTTAGCCTCCCAAGCAGCTGGGACTACGAGGCACGGCCTCCATGCCCAGCTAATTTTTGTATTTTTACTAGAGACAGGGTTTCACTTATATTGGCCAGGCTGGTCTCAATCTCTTGACCTCATGTAGATCACAATTTTTTCTTTTTTTTTTTAAATTTTTTAATTTTGTTTGTTTTTTGAGACGGAGTCTTGCTCTATTGCCAGGCTGGAGTGCAATGCTATGATCTTGGCTCACTGCAACCTCCACCTCCCAGGTTCAAATGATTCTTCTGCCTCAGACCCACAAGTAGCTGGGACTACAGGCATGTGCCACCATGCCCAGCTAATTTTTGTATTTTTAGTAAAGATGAGGTTTCACCATGTTGGCCAGCCTGGTCTCAATCTCTTGACCTCATGATCCACCTGTCTTGGCCTCCCAAAGTGCTGGGATTACAAGCGTGAGCCACCATGCCCAGCCTTATTTTTCTTTTTGTGACAGGGTCTCACCCAGGCTGGAGTGCAGTGACGCCATTTTGACTCAATGGGAGGGCTCAGGTGATCCTCTAGAGGCTCCTATAGCCTCCAGAGCAGCTGGGACTACAGATGTATGCCACCACAACTGCCTAATTTTTGTGTTGTTTGTAGAGAAGGGGTTTTGCCATGTTGCCCAGGCTGGTCTTGAACTCCTGTGCTCAAGCAATCCTGCCTCAGCCTCCCAAAGTGTTAGGATTACAGGCATGTAATCCTCATGACACTTGTAATCTTAGAATCACAATTACAGATAGAAGCATGTCCTTTGGGGGCCGGGCGCAGTGGCTCACGCCTATAATCCCAGCACTTTGGGAGGCCGAGGCGGGTGGATCACGAGGTCAAGAGATCGAGACCATCGTGGTCAACATAGTGAAACCCCATCTCGACTAAAAATACAAAAACTTAGCTGGGCATGGTGGTGCACGCCTGTAGTCCCAGCTACTTGGGAGGCTGAGGCGGGAGAATTGCTTGAACCCAGGAGGTGGAGGTTGCGGTGAACTGAGATTGAGCCATTGCACTCCAGCCTGGATAACAAGCAAAACTCCATCTCAAAAAAAAAAAAAAAGAAATGTGTCCTTTGGGTTGTCGGCATTAGTCCTGTCTGAGTGTACTCTTAACTTACATGCAGTTGCATGGGAGCTCCATTAGCAAACAGCGGGCTGCCTGGTTAGGATGGTCTCAACCAGGAGATGCCCTCAGCCATCAGCCAGGTTAACCATGCACACCCATCCCCACCTGTTCACCCTTGGTCTTTCAGAGAACAGAATGGCTTCAGCCATTTTGTTATGTTGAACAGACTTACTCAATTATGATACAGCTTTGCAGACTACTAGAGACTTAATTCTGTGGTATCAACGGTTTTTGTCAAACACTCTTGAAAGTGTCTGTGTCACTTTGTACTCCTCTTAGTGATATGGGCAAATAGCTACGTGCAGCCATTCTGGTCACATTCAATATCAAATTCAGTTTTTTCCAATCCACCCACCTTGGCCTCCAAAGTGCTAGGATTATAGGCATTAGCTACCACGTCCGGCCAGATACATTCTTTTCTATTTGAAAAAGTCCAATTATTCCAGCATCTTCTGTTCTCTCCCCATTTACCTGAAATATCTCACCTCTCTATTACGTTGATAGATGTGCATCCAATTTTTTTCCTTTTTTTTGGCCTTCACCCTGTGTTGGCCAGGCTAGTCTTGAATTCCTGGCCTCAAATGATCCATCCACCTTGGCCTCCCGAAGTGCTGGGATTATAGGCATAAGCCGTGCACGTGTGTGTGTGTGTCTCCCTCCCTCCCTCTCTCCCTCTTATTACTTCCACCCCTTCTTCCTGCTGCATGTCTATTTCTTGACTTTTTTCTTCTCTTTTTGTTTTTTGTTTTTTGAGATGGATTCTCACACTGTCACCCAGGCTTGAATGCAGTGGGGCAATCTTGGCTCCCTGTAGCTTCCCCTTCACAGGTTCAAGCAAGTCTCCTACCTCAGTGTCCTGAGTAGCTAGAATTACAGGCACGCACCACCACATCCAGCTAGTTTTTGTATTTTTAGTAGACACGGTTTCTCCATGTTAGCCAGGCTTGTCTTGAGCTTCTGACCTCAGGCAATCCGCTCACCTCGGCCTCCCAAAGTGGCAGGATTATAGGTGTGAACCACTGCGCCTTGACTTTTTTTTTTTTTTAAGATGGAGTTTTGCGCTTGTTGCCCAGGCTGGAGTGTAATGGCACAATCTCGACTCACTGTAACCTCTGCCTTCCAGGTTCAAGCTGGGATTACAGGCGTGTGCTACCATGTCTGGCTAATTTTTTTGTATTTTTAGTAAAGACAGAGTTTCTTCATGTTGGTCAGGCTAGTCTTGAACGCTTGACATCAGGTGATCTACCTGCTTCGGCCTCCCAAAGTGCTGGGATTACAGGTGTGAGCGACTGTGCCCAGCCAACTCTTTTTATCTTAATCTGTCTTCTACTGTGCTGCCAATGTCTAGTTTTGGTTTAAGGACTTTTTTTTTTTTTTGAGACGGAGTTTTGCTCTTTTTGCTTAGGCCAGAGTGCAATGGCGTGATCTTGGCTCACCACAGCTTCTTCCTCCTGGGTTCAAGTGATTCTCCTGCCTCGGCCTCCTGAGTAGCTGGGCTTACAGGCATGCACCACCACGCCCAGCTAATTTTTTGTATTTTTAGTAGAAACGAGGTTTCTCCATGTTGGTCAGGCCGGGCTCAAACTCCTGACCTCAGGTGATCTGCCTGTCTTGGCCTCCCAAAGTGCTGGGATTAGAGGCATGAGCCACTGACACCCGGTCCTATGCAGTATTTTTGTTTTTTTTTTTTTAGAACAGTTTGTATGAGGCTTACTCACAAAATGTCTTGGACCTGATGACTTTTTTTCTTTGAGACAGCGTCTCGCTCTGTCGCCCAGGCTGGAGTGCAGTGGCACAATCTCGGCTCACTGCAACCTCCACCTTACAGGTTCAAGTGATTTTTTTGCCTCAGCCTTTCTAGTTGGAATTGCAGGCACGTGCCAGGACACCTAGCTGATTTTTATATTTTTAGTAGAGATGGGGTTTCACCATGTTGGCCAGGCTGGTCTCTTAATTCCTGACCTCAGATGATCCACCCACCTTGGCCTCCCAAAATTCTGGGATTACAGGCATGAGCCACCTCATCTAGCCTAACATTGTTCTTAAAATTGACAGAGTCTCGGCCAGGAGCAGTGGCTCATGCCTATAATCCCAGAGGCCAAGGTGGGCCGATCACGAGGTCAGGAGATTGAGACCATCCTGGCAAACATAATGAAACTCCATCTCTACTCAAAATACAAAAAATTACCTGGGCATGGTGGCATGTGCCTGTAATCCCGCCTACTTGGGAGGCTGAGGCAGAAAAAACACTTGAACTGGGGAGGTGGAGGTTGCAGTGAGCCAAGATTGCACCACCGCATTCCAGCCTGGGTGATGGAACAAGACTCTGTCTCAAAAAAAAAAAATTGGCAAAGTCTCTTCGATCTGTAATTATCTCTTTTAAGACAGAGTATCCTCTGTCACCCAGGCTAGAGCACAGTAACTATTCCTAAGTGTGATTATAGTGCTCTGCAGTCTCAAACTCCTGGCCTCAAGCAATCCTCCTGCCTCAGCCTCCTGCATTGCTGGAACTGTAGGCATGCACCACCATATCCAGTTCATGTTTCGTTTTCTAAATTCTGAATTTTAAAAAATTATTTACCAGAAGCCCAAACCTTACCATAATCCTGATTTTTTTTCTCCTTTTTCCTTAATATGTTTGCCAATGTTTATCTGGTTTATTAGTCTTTGCATAGACCATCTATTACATTGTTTGTTCTGAATTTCTCATTAAGATGTGTAACTTTTACCCCTTGCGTAATGAGCAGATATCTGACATTCTCTATTTCTTCTAGAAATGTGATACCTCAAAGCATAAAGTGCTGGTAGTGTCTGTGTGTCCTCAGTCTTTGCCTTATTTTGCTGCTAAATTCAACCTCAGTGTAACTGAGGCATCCAGAAGACTCTGTGGTTTCCTCAAAAGTCTTGGTGAGTCATCTTTTCATAAATTGGGAGTTTATAACTTGAGTTAATAAGCGCCCTTTTTAATCTCTAAAGTTCAGTTTTCAAAGGTGCAGGGTAGATAAGCAGCTTCCACAAGAGTCTCTTGGAAGGTAAAAAGACCTTGTCTCCTGCGTCAAACCCAGCCTCTGATCAATGGTAGATGAGTGTCACTTTTCTCCTTTGCTGTGCAGATGGGTGTTTTGTTACACAGTGGGAGCTGACCCCTGTGGGAGCCAAAAGTGACCACTTTCTGACAGCACAAACAGGGACACTGGGAGATCCCGCACTGCCCCAGCAACCTCCAAGTCACCCCTTACCCCAAGAGGGGGTGTATTTGATAAACAGTCACTTCTGAAATAATTAATGTCTGGTTTCCCAAGAAGCTCTCTGAAGAGCAGAGCAGAAAAGGAATGGGCTTGTGTTCTTACCTTGAGGAATGAAAGGTAGAAATTTAAGAATACAATCAAAGAACTCAGACCTTAATACTGCCTGAAATGTTGATGGATCATGCTTCTGTGTCTTTTGCTTTGGTCAAACTGGAATTTCTTCCCTCCATTTGCTCTTTAGTGGGGCCCTTACACCCTTAAGCATCCTCACAGCAGGATGGTCAATGTGCAAGTTCAGAAAAGGAAAACTTGAGTGAGTTGCCAAATGAGAGTTTTTATTTTTATTTATTTTTTTTTTTGAGACAGAGTTTCGCTCTTGTTACCCAGGCTGGAGTGCAGTGGCTCGATCTTGGCTCACCGCAACATCCGCCTCCTGGGTTCAGGCAATTCTCCTGCCTCAGCCTCCTGGGCAGCTGGGATTACAGACACGCACCACCATGCCCAGCTAATTTTTTGTGTTTTTAGTAGAGACGGGTTTCACCATGTTGACCAGGATGGTCTCGATCTCTTGACCTCGTGATTCACCCGCCTCAGCCTCCCAAAGTGCTGGGATTACAGGCTTGAGCCACCGCGCCCGGCCAGTTTTTATTATTCTTTTTTTTTTTTTTTTTTTTTTTTTTCCTCAAAAGAGAAAAAAAAAACAGGAGAGAGAAATAAAGATTTTGCTTTCTGTCACACATTCTTGTGCTTACTCTTTAAATCACTCTCTTCTGGGCAGATTTTTTTTTTTTTTTTTAAAGTATCTACAAGCTCACTTTTTTTTTTTTTTAGAGGGAAAAAGAGAGAAAGAAGGGGAAAAAAAGAAAAAGAGGGAAAAAGGAATATTACTTCATTCCTAAAATGGGTTTCAATAATGGCCGATCAATATTTTGAGTGTTTAAAGTGGTTAATGCATATTTTATGTGTTTAAAATGGAGACCTCTATTGTGTTTATTTGTTCTGGCTCTGAGTTCAAGTCCTGGATATCATTATCAATTTGTTGTCTCGTTGAATCTAAATCTCATTATGTGTCTTATGTATCTGGGTCTTAAGATCTCTTATTGTTACATTAATCCTTTTACCCTTGCATCCTTGTAGCTTTGAAATCTATTTTATTAAGTGTGAGAATTGCAACTCCTGCTTTTTATTTATTTATTTTTGCTCTCCATTTGGTTGGTGAGTTTTTTTCCATCCCCTTGTTTTGAGTCTTTGTATATCTTTAGATATATCGTTAGATTTTGTGGATAATGTATATTTTGTGTGTTTAAAATGGAGAGCTCTGTTGAGTTTATTTGTTCTGGATCTTAGTTCCAGTCCCAGATACCGTTATCAATTTTCTGTCTTGTTGAATCTAAATCTCATTATGGGTCTTATGTATCTGGGTGTTAAGATCTCTTATTATTACATTAATCCTTTTACCCTTGTATCCTTGTAGCTTTGAAATCTATTTTGTCAAATGTGAAAATTGCAACTCCTGCTTTTTATTTATTTATTTTTGCTCTCCATTTGGTTGGTACGTTTTTTTTTTCAACCCTTTATTTTGAGTCTATGTATATCTTTGGATATACCGTTAGATTTTGTCTGTATCTTTTGATTGGGAGATTTGGTTGATTTAAATTTAGGATTGCTGCCATTTGATATTAACTGGCTACAGTTTTTATTATTCTATAGCTGCTTTTAAAAATTGTAAATACTAGTCAGGTGTGGTGGCTTATGCCTGTAATCCCAGCACTTTGGAAGGCCAAGGTAGAAGATTGCCTGAGGCCAGGAACTTGACACCAGCCTGGACAACATAGCTGGAAATGTATAATATTTGCCCAGCCTCAAAATTTATAATATTTATTGTAACTAGTTGCTTTTTCTCTCAGCTTTGTTACCTGGGGAGGGGGAGAAACAAATTTAAAATGGAAAAATCAGGCCAGGCATGGTGGCTTACACCTGTAATCCCAGTACCTTGGGAAGCTGACATGGGCGGATCACCTGGGATCAGGAGTTTTCAGACCAGCCTGGCCCAATGTGACAAAACCCCATCTCTACTAAAAATACAGAAATTAGCTGGGTGTGGTGGCAGGCACCTGTAATCCCAGCTACTCAGGAGGCTAAGGAAGGAGAATCACTTGATCCTGGGAGGCAGAGGTTGCAGTGAGTCGAGATCACGCCACTGCACTCTAGCCTAGGCAACAGAGCAAGACTCCATCTCAAAAAAGAAATTAAATTAAATTAAATTAAATTGAAAAAATCAAAAAGAAACAAAAAAAAACCCCGAAAAGAATAAAAAAGATAACTTGACTGTTTTTATGATTTATACCAGCTATAGAATTTAGTTATTTATTAGAATTATTGAAAGTACGTTTTGTTTTAGACTTATTTACTGATATTATGAAAAAGATAGCTACTTAAAAATTATGGCTGGGTGTGGTGGTGGCTCATTCCTGTAATCCCAGCATTTTGGGAGGCTGAGGTAGGTGGGTCACTTGAGGTCAGAAGTTTGAGACCAGCCTGACCAACATCGTGAAACCTCGTCTCTGCTAAAAAAAATATATATATATATATATATATATACGTAATTAGCCAGGCAGGGTCACATACACCTGCAGTCCCAGCTACTTGGGAGGCTGAGGCAGGAGAATCGCTTGAAACCAGGAGGCAGAGGTTGCAGTGAGCCGAGATCATGCCATTGCACTCCAGCCTGGGCAACAAGAGTGAAACTCTGTCTCAGAAAAGAAAAAAAAATCAGTATAGGCCAGTTGCAGTGGCTCATGCCTGTAATCCCAGCACTTTGGGAGGCTGAGGTGGGCAGATCACTGAAGTCAGGAGTTCAAGACCAGCCTGGCCAACATGGTGAAACCTTGTCTCTACTAAGTAAAGTACAAAAATTAGTTGGGCATGGTGGTGCACATCTGCAGTCCCAGCTACTCTGGAGGCTGAGACACAAGAATCGCTCAAACCTGGGAAGCAGAGGTTGTAGTAAGCTGAGATTATGTCACTACACTCTAGCCTGGGTGACAGAGCAAGACTCTGTCTCAAAAAAAAAAAAAAAGTGTAAAAATTAAAACCATTATAAAGGTATGGTCAACCATTTTACTGTACATTTTACTTTTAAACATACCAAGAACCATCATAGACTGAAATTTAATTTGCCTGTGAATTAGAAGGGAATGCTGTGGGTACATTATAATATTCCACTAATTTATATATGGAGTACCGTGAGGTGTTTTAAAATATAGATGTATTGGGAGGCTGAGGCAGGTGGATCATGAGGTCAAGAGATCGAGACCATCCTGGTCAACATGGTGAAACCCTGTCTCTACTAAAAATACAAAAAATTTGCTGGGCACGGTGGTGCATGCCTGTAATCCCAGCTACTCAGGTGGCTGAGGCAGGAGAATTGCCTGAACCCAGGAGGCAGAGGTTGCAGTGAGCCGAGATTGCGCCATTGCACTCCAGCCTGGGTAACAAGAGCGAAACTTCGTCTCAAAAAAATATGTATATATAGATGTAGAAAGAGAAGAAACACAAGGGAGAACACACATATTTAATTGTGAAAAATCATACACACTCATCGTTTGCAAAATAAAAAGTAAGGCACACAGTATTGAACTTAGGCCATTTGGAATAGAAAAGAACCAAGACTGATTTTATTATCTTGGGAGAGATGCCTATAGAATCTGTGCTTTAAGTTTGTCTCTTAAACATGAGAAAGCAAGAATGAGGAAGTAGTGGGTGAATGCAGTGGTTCACACCTCAATTCCAGCACTCTGGGAGGTCAAGGTGGTTGGATCACTTGAGGCCTGGAGTTGAAGATCAGCCTGGCCAATGTGGTGAAACCCCATCTTTACTAAAAAATACAAAAATTGGCCGGGCATGATGGTAGGCACCTGTAATCCTGATTATTAGGGAGGCCGAGGTGCAGGATTACTTGAACCAGGGAGGCAGAGGCTGCAGTGAGCTGAGATTGTGGCATTCCACTGCAGCCTGGGTGACAGAGCAAGACTCTCTCAAAAAAGATCAACAACAAAAATAAGGAAGGCTAAAAGTAGATCTGATAGTACGTGATTTAAGCTGAATAAGTTCCTCTCTCCTGCAGGGGTGCACTATGTATTTGATACGACAATAGCCACGGATTTTAGCATCCTGGAGAGTCAAAAAGAATTCGTGCGTCGCTATCGCCAGCACAGTGAGGAGGAGCGCACCCTGCCCATGCTGACCTCTGCCTGTCCTGGTGAGCCCCTGCATCCCATTCTGTTGGCCTGCGGTGCTGTTTCACAAGAGTCTGCAGTCACTGGATGAGGTTGGAAGCAGACACACCCATCCCACCCAGGCTTGTAGACCAGGAGGGAAGAGCTTGACCTGATTCCTAGAGGGTATTTGATGTTTTGGGACAGCCAATTCATTTATTTTTTCATCAGAGGTGCCACACTGGAAAGGCCAGTTAATTAATTATTTTTTTTTTTTTGAGACAGAGTTTTGCTTTTGTTGCCCAGGCTGGAGTGCAGTGGCGCGATCTTGGCTCACTGCAACATCTGCCTCCCAGGTTCAAGCCGGGAGCCTGCCTCAGCCTCCCAAGTAGCTGGGATTATAGGCAGGTGCTACCACGCCCAGCCAATTTTTGTAGTTTTAGTAGAGATGAGGTTTCACCATGTTGGCCAAGATGGTATTGATCTCTTGACCTCGTGATCTGCCCACTTCAGCCTCCCAAAGTGCCGGGATTACAGGCTGAGCCATTGTGACCAGCCTATTTATTTATGTTTAACATTGATTTATTTATTTAGAGACAGTTTTGCTCTTGTTGGCCAAGCTGGAGTGGTACAATCTCGGCTCACCACAACCTCTACTTCTAGGGTTCAAAAGATTCTCTTGTCTGAGCCTCCCAAGTAGTTGGAATTACAGGCACGCGCCACTGTGCCCAGCTAATTTTTATATTTTTAGTGGAGACGGGGCTTCACCATGTTGGCCAGGCTGGTCTTAAACTCTTGATCTTGGATGATCTGCCCGCCTCGGCCTCCCAAAGTGCTGGGGTTACATGCTTGAACCACCATGCCCAGCCCAGGTAGATCTCTTGAGCCCAGGAGTTTGAGACCAGCCTCGGCAACATGGTGAAACCCTGTCGCTATGGTTTGTTTTTTTCTGGAGACAGATTCTCATTTTGTTGCCCAGATTAGAGTGCAGTGGTGTGATCTTGGCTCATTGCAACCTCCACCTCCTGGGTTCAAGCAATTCTCATGCCTCAGCCTTCTGTAGCTGGGATCACAGGCTAGCACCACCATGCCTAGCTAATTGTTATATTTTTAGTAGAGATGGGGTTTTGCCATGTTGGCCTGGCTGGTCTTGAACTCTTGGCCTCGAGTGATCTGCCCACCTTGGCCTCCCAAAGTGCTGGGATTACAGACATGAGCCACTGTGCCCGTCCTCTAATTTTTAAAATAAAAATCTTTTAAAAGGAAAAGAAAAATAGGCCAGGCATGGTGGTTCACAGATGTAATCCCAACAATTTAGGAGTTTGACGTGGGAGGATTGCTTGAGCCTAGGAGTGTGTGACCAGCCTTGTCAACATAGTGAGACCTGTGTCTGCAAAAAACAAAAAGCCAGGGATGGTGGCATGTACCTATAATCCTAGCTACTACGAATCCTAGGCTAAGGTGAGTGAATCGTTTGAGCCAAGGAGTTCAAGGCTGCAGTGAACTGATTCTCCATTGTATTCTAGCCTGGGCAAAAGATTGAGGTACTGTCTCTTAAGAAAATCTATTTTCTCTTGAAAGTATGACATGTCTCAGATGTACAAATAATTATAGAACAGCACAGCAGACATTCATATATCCTTTGCCAGCTTAAAAAAAAATAGAGAATAAGAAAATTCTTTACATTGATACTCAGATACTCTCAGAGAGCACTGTTTAAACCACTCTAACTAGTTTTAGGATGCTTGAGTTATAGAAAAGATTCCTCACATGCTTTTCAATTCTGGAAAAATAGAGAGTTTGGGTTAAGAAATTTTCAAAGAAGTGTAAGGGAATAAGGAAGGGAATGGCTATCTTGGCAAACAACATTAATTAAAAATTATTCTAAACACAGCACAGGAGAGCTCTATCTAAGCTAGTCATAGGCTGTATAATTTTTAGGGTTTCGTTCATGTTTCAGTTCTCAATTTATGCTCCCCCCACTATGGTTTCAAATTTTTCTAGCGTTTCACATGTCAACGTTTAGTCATTAGGATTATGAGTTAATGAGACAGAACATTGACATTGTGGTTACTTCGAGTTTGGAGTTAACTTTCTAGCCATTTATAAAATAGAGGAAATGTACCATCTGTTCAGTGGGCTGCATTGGTTGGCTCGTTATCCGATCTGTGTCTTTTGCCAGCAACCCACAGCCTGCAGTGATCTCAGCTCCAGATGGGGATGGGAATGTTAGTGACGTCTTTCAGGTATATGGTTTGCCTTAGTGTAAGGTATATGGTTTGCCTTAGTGTAAGTGATTCACAGATTTTTCTATCAAAGGTTTAAGTATGACTCCAGATACAGCCTTTTGCTAGATTGTGAGTACTACATTCAGCTCTTCTTGCATTTTGGGTGTTTTTCCAGGTGTAAAGGGATAATTTCCACACCTGAGGGTTTGGGAGGCTGCCTGGGCCCTACATGACCTGGGAGTACCTGGTGTTTGTGTGCAGAGCCTGCCTCTGTGGCACCCTTGCTGGAGTGCTCTCCTTTTGGGACCCATCACATGATGCTACACACAACATGGCTTCACAACACCAACCACACTTGCTTAGTTCCGCCCCCAACCAAGGAAGAGGCCATGTAAAACTATGCAGAACTAAGGCCCATGCCCTTGGAGCAGTGGTTTCTAAATTATAAAAAATTTAAAAACTGGCCAGGCACGGTGGCTCATGCCAGTAATCCCAGCACTTTGGGAGGTCAAGGAGGGAGGATTACCTGAAGTCAGGAGTTCGAGACCAGCCTGGCCAATATGGCAAAACCCTGTCTCTACTAAAAATACAAAAATTAGCCGGATGTGGTGGCGCATATCTGTAGTCCCGGTTACTCAGGAGCCTGAGACAGGAGAATTGCTTGAACCCAGGAGGCAGAGGTTGCAGTGAGCCGAGATCATGTCACTATACTCCAGCCTGGGCGACAGAGCAAGACTCTGTCTCGAAAAATAAAAAAAATGTAGTCTTGCTCTGTCACCCAAGGTGGAGAGCAGTGATGTAATCATAACTCACTGCAGCCTCGAACTCCTGGGCTCAACGCCATCCTCCTGCCTCAGCCTCCCAAGTAGCTGGGACTACAGGTGTGCACCACCATGCCTAGCTGATTTTTTAATTTTGGTAGAGACAGAGTCTCATCATGTTGCCCAGACTGGTCTTGAATTCCTGCCCTCAAGTGATCTGCCTGCCTCCCAGGGATGCAGATGACAGGGATGAACCAACACGCCTGGCCTGGGGCATTTCTCTTAGTGGCTGCTTCTGTGTCTCTGTGGGTGTTTCCTGAGCAGGGCGTGTTTATAGGTGAGACTTTGTTAAATGGGATTATCATGTCTGACTGTGGGGCATGAGCTGCCTGTCACCCTCTGGGAGACCTTCCCCTCCAGGAGTGGAGTCTCCCCAGGTGTCTACTCCACCTCCGTTTGAGGGCAGGTAGCGTGGCTCTCATGTGCACAGGTGTGCCAGTGTCTGTGGGGTCAGGGCCTAGAATCAGTTGTCAGGTCAGGAGGTTCTGTGATGGTCTGATACACTCTGACTGGGCTGTGCCCCAGCAGGAAAGGAGCAGGCAGGGCTCCTGCAGTGGAATTGCTGCTGTGTGGTCAGCTGCAGTGGTGGCTGTGTTCACCCTGGAAACCACTGGAGCAGTGGGGCCCTCAGGGAATTGTTCAGATTGTGCAGGCATGTAGTGACATTACAGATTTTGCTATTTATCATGACTTGGGGAGTATAGATTTCTTATACTTTCAGATGTATGCAGTTGTTAGGCTGTGAATTTCTAGTCAGTGAGTGAAGTTAGGCAAGCGTGTGGCTGCTCTCTCCTGAGTGGTGACCACGTGTCCTGGCTGCAAGGACTCTGCAGCTCCGCAGCTGGCCAGGGGATTTCTCACGATGCAGCCTGGGTCACTGTTCCTGCTGCCCTTCAGTGCTTGTTTCCCTTCACCTTTTTGGAGGACCTGTTACTCCGACTCTTACCTCTATCCTGTCCATCTTGCAGGGACAGTCCCATTTCCCAGTAGCCTCCAGACCTGCAGGTTCCCTGACCCAAAACCTGTCCCATGCAGACAGGTTGTGGGTCCAGGACAAGCTCCTGATAAAGCCTGAGGAAGAGGCGTCCTGGTTTCACCTTGGGGCGATAGGGACTCAGGAGTAGAGCGTTCCTGGTGCGTTACAGGAAGACCAGAGGAAGCAGTATGGAGCTGAACATGGATCCCTTCTTTCCGCAGGCTGGGTCCGATACGCGGAGCGGGTGCTGGGTCGTCCCATCACTGCCCACCTCTGCACTGCCAAGTCCCCCCAGCAGATCATGGGCTCTTTGGTGAAGGATTATTTCGCCAGACAGCAGGTAAGCTGACCTCTGTCTGGAGGGCAGGAAGGGCAAGTGAGGGAGGACCATGGCACAGAGGTCCAGGAAGGGGAGGTTTCCCTATCTGTCCAGGATGGTCACAGCCCCCCTGGTGAGCACAAGTGAAGCTGTGGCTTCAGGAAGCGTCAGCAGTGCTATTTCTCACCAACGCCTATCTCTGTTCCTCCCTTCCTCCTCCTTATGATCTCTTTCTTTCTTAATCTTTTCTGTGGCATCTGGTGGTTCTCCTGGGCCCATTTGGGTGGAGTAGAAATGCTGCCCATCCTGCTGAGAATGAGGCCCTGGGCCTCCCCCAGAGATGCTGCTGCCTGCTTGCTGTTCAGACACCTCACCTAAGGAGGCCTGGAGTGGCCTGTGCCTGGAGACTAAGGGCCGCTGTCATTTAGAGAGCCAAACCTGGCCTCTGCCCTGGCCTTTCCCTCAGACCATAGACAACACATGACTTGTTAGCCACTTCAATAAGATTCTGGGGTGGCCGTGATCCTGTCTTCCACTTGATGGAGTGAGTCCTGGCCTGCGGCTCCTGGGTGTCCCCTGCCTCGGTCCATCGTCTTCTCCCTTCCCACAGCCCTCTGTGGCCCCCAGGTTCTCCAGAACTCCCTGATGTCTGCAAGGCCACCCTCTAAGGGACCCTCATCCTGTGGTTTATTCTCCAGCAGCTGGCACACCCCACACTGCTCTTCTCAGTCAGACTTTACACCCCTGCTCCAAGGAAACAGCCATGGTCAGGCACTGTGGTAACCAGAGTAGAGGGCAGCATCAGGATCTTTCAGACGTTTGAAGTCAGCCTAAAAAGGCATGCACAGTTGGCAGCCTTGTTATTTTAGCAATAGGCAGTGGTTTTTTTTCTACCCATAAAGTCACAATTTGGCAAATTATAAACATGATGTCAGAGTATATGTGTTCAGTTTAGGCAGGACTGAAAAATGAGCGATGGGACTTTATGCCTGCCCCTTGCCCTGCCCCCACCTGAAGGGATCCATGCATTTCTAGGTCTTTTACATGCTGCCAGCCTGTCCTCTCCCATGGCTAGAGCCCAGAGCTATGGGTCCTTCTATAGTTGCTGTGAGGGGCATCTGCAGAGACCCAGCCTCCAGCAGCCCCTCACCTGACCGCCTGGCAGGGCTGCAACCAGGGCCAGGTTTTCTCTTTTGCTCTGCCCCTGCCCTGAGTGGGGCCTTTCCACCCAGACCTCACCATGGGGTCACTTGGCAACTGCCGGCTCCTGGCTTTGCTACCAGTTAGGGCCCAGCCATAGGCACCTGCTCTGTGTGGCAAGGCCCTAGGAGAGGGGTAGCTTGGGTGGGCTGGAAAGTCAGCGGGTGAAGCAGCCAGTGCACATACACACCCAGGCTCCCGGCAGCGGCTCCACGGTGGGCCTCCTCGCCCCCAGCAGCAGCTCTACACTGGGCCTCCCCTTGAGTGTTTTGTCCCCATGTGTGCAGGTTCAGGAGGAAATGGGCTCAGCCATCCTGGTTCTCCACTGGCTGTGGGGCTTTGCAGATGGTTTGGGTGGGCCACACTTAGTCCCAAGGGAGGCAGCAAACAGACACGGATGGAGTGCTGGTGCTCAGAGTTGAAGAGGGGATGGGAGCCAGATGTGGCTGCGGTTACTTTGTCTGTACGGCCTGACCTCAGACTCACAACAGCCCCAGCCCCGAGAAAGTGCCTTATGCAGCCAGGCACGGTGGCTCACACCTGTAATCCTAGTATTTTGGGAGGCTGAGGCGGCCAGATTGCCTGAGCTCAGAAGTTCGAGGCCAGCCTGGCAACACAGTGAAACCCCATCTCTACTAAAGTACAAAAAATATGCTGGGCATGGCAGCATGCACCTGTAGTCCCAGTTACACGGGAGGCTGAGGCAGGAGAATCACTTGAACCCAGGAGATGGAGGTTGCAGTGAGCCAAGATCCCACAACTGTACTCCAGCCTAGGCAACAGAGTTAAGACTCTGTCTCAAACGAAAAAGGAAGTGCTGCATGCAGTGTCAGGGAGGGCAGCAGCAAGGGGTGGGGGGGTCTCCCATCCCTCTTGCTCTGGCACCAAACACAAGCTGCTGTCGTCACCTCTCCACCAACCCTGAACATGAGTGCCCCTTTCCCACAGAACCTGTCTCCAGAGAAGATTTTCCACATCATCGTGGCCCCTTGCTATGACAAGAAGCTGGAGGCTCTTCAGGAAGGCGCTCTCCCCGCTTTGCATGGCTCCCGGGGCACTGACTGCGTGTTAACATCAGGTGAGAGGTAGGGGGCAGTGCACCTGGGCGCTGGGGGCATCCCCAACTGGCCAGTGCACACCAGAGCCAGGCAGATCTGTGTCCCAGAGTCATCTCAGTACCTGACACTGTGGTCAGTTGTCTGAAGTTTACTGACAGCTGAGGGTCCTAGGGGCTTAACTGCATGAAGGTGAAGAGAATTGATCTAGCCTCCTGTCTTCTCCGTGCATCTTCCTCAAGATAAATCAGGTCTCTGAGAGAACCACTTGGGCAGTATGATGGCCCTAACTACATTACAGTCCACATAAGGTACTTATCTCTCGGTAGGAAAGTTGTCTACCACCATAGTAGGTCTCCTCACAAACCAGGTCTGCACTTACAACACAAGTGAAGTTTATCTCAGAGTAAAATGAAAAAGGCATGTTTGCTCCCGTGACATTGCCTTTAGCGCTGTATTGGCCTTGCCTTTCAGACATGAAGAGTCTGCAGTGAGTTCTGTGTGTGTTGTGATAGAAGTCATTCCGTGGAATTGTGCAGAACCCATTCAGAAGAATGTTGACATCAGTTAGTGGGGAAGCTTAAGACGTTGTTAAAATTCTGGTGGATCTGTTTTAATTGGTCTCTGAAAACAGGTCCCTGCAGGTATCTAAAGCAGTGGTAGGTTAGGCAGAGAGGTCAGCTGTCAGCTCTCAGGAACAACCTTTAAGGGTACCAATACCCCTCACAGGCCACAACTTGACATTCTAGCACATAGACACCTCTGGAAAGGTCCCCACCCCATAGGCACAGGCTCCCTGTGGAGTGACCTGGCAGGCATGTTGAAGGATGAGAAGCAGAAGGGCCGTCGGCACTGCCATCCTTCACTCAAAGAGGAAGGTGCCAGCAGCCATCTGCTTAGGTTGACAAAAACGTGGCAGGCTGTCAGAAGAACCATGTCTAGCCATCTTGTTTCTGAGTGCAGATTTATAGTAAATTATGATGTTTTTAGTTTGTTTTGTTTTGTTTTGAGACAGAGTTTTGTTCCTGTCACCCAGGCTGGAGTGCAATGGTGTGATCTTGGCTCACTGCAACCTCTGCCTCCTGGGTTCAAGCGATTCTCTGCCTCAGCCTCCCGAATAGCTAGGATTACAGGCACGAGCCACCACGCCTGGCTAATTTTTTGTAATTTTAGTAGAAACAGAGTTTCACCATGTTGACCAGAATGGTCTCAATCTCTTGACCTCATGATCCACCCATCTCGGCCTCCCAAAGTGCTGGGATAACAGACATGAGCCTCCTTGCCCAGCCTATGCTGTTTTCTTACCTGTATTTCCAGCCATCTCACAGCATCTGATGTGATGCCAGAGCCATGGTTTTAGAGACTCAGTTTTTCTATTAAGGATTTTTTCAGGCATCCTCGTGTAAAAGGAAATACAGAAAGTGGTTCTCACTTTCAGTTGATCTCACTGCAGAATAAGCATACATCATAAAAACGTACCCAAGTGCAGTGGCTCAGGTCTCTAATTCCAGCTATTCAGGAGGCTATGGCTGGAGGATCACTTGAACCCAGGAGTTTGAGACCACCCTGGGCAACATAGTGAGATAGTGAGACCTCGTCTCTTTTTATTTTTTGAGACGGATCTCACTCTGTCACCCAGGCTGGAGTGCAGTGGATCCATCTCAGCTCACTGTAACCTCTGCCTCCCAGGTTCAAGTGATTCTCCTTGCCTCAGCCTCCTGAGTAGCTGGGATTACAGGCGTGCACCACCACACCTGGCTAATTTTTGTATTTTTAGTTGAAAGAGGGTTTCGTCATATTGGCCAGACTGGAGACCTCGTCTCTTCAAAAAAAGAAAGAAAGGGCCGGGCATGGTGACTCAGACCTGTAATCCCAGCACTTGTACGACTGTGGTGGATGGATCACCTGAGGGACCAGGAGTTAGAGACCAGCCTGGCCCACATGGTAAAATTCCGTCTCTACTAAAAAATACAAAAATTAACCTGGCATGGTGGCATGTACCTATAATCCCAGCTACTTGGGAGGCTGAGGCAGGAGAATCACTTGAACCCAGAGGGCAGAGGTTACAGTGAGCCAAGATGGTGCCAGTGCACTCCAGCCTGGGTTGGGGAGTGAGACTCTGTCTCAAAAAAGAAAAATGGAACCAGTGTATATTTTGTGATCCTATGTCTGTGAGCTTGTTATACACAAAAGTTTTCTGTTTGTTTCATGCAAAATGGACCAAAAAAAGTTTTCCACATGGGAAAATCATGGAGAGATTGTTTACAGAAATCCAACAGTTCAAGGGCAGAAAGAGGAATGGAAAGAGGAATTAGAATTGAACTCTGCTTACATTGTATTAGTGTTTCACTTTATTGGCCTCACTTTGCCCTAAAGCTGGACTCCTGCTCTCTGTGATGGGTATTTCACAGGAGGGAGGGCATCCAAAGTCACTAATGTCAAATTCCCTGCAGAGGAAGAAAAGTTCCTGTGGCCACCTGTGTCTTTTCAGTGTCTCTACTTCGTTTGTCTATAGGTGAAATTGCTCAAATAATGGAGCAAGGTGACCTCTCAGTGAAAGATGCCACCATCGACACTCTGTAAGTAGGTTCTGAGGAGGGTCCTCTAGGAGGTGGGCCTCCTATGATCCCTGCCAGGCCCAGGGCTGCCCTGCTTTATGACGAGGCCATGTGAAGCATTGAGATGTCCCCCAGGCCCTGCCACAACCGTCAGCCACCCTCCTGACTATTGAATGAGATGCCATTCACCAGGGATGCCAGGAAGTTGGGAGGCTTGGTGGGCTTCTGTGGTGTAATTACTACCCTAAACCCTCGAGGAAGGAGGAGAAGCACAAACAGCTTTGTCCTCCCTGGGCCAGGGCTGTTATTGTGTGCACCAGCCCCGCTTCCTAAGTGCTGTCTGCCTCACATTCCATGTGGCCTGTGGGGCAGTGGGACAGCTCCCTCAGGCCCCTTTGCACCAAGAGTGGCAGGCTGGGTTCTTCTGGGGACGGTGACCTTGATACCCATTGAGGTCTGGGGCTCCTGCTGCACCCGAGACATGGGCAGAGAGTACCACAAAAGCAGAGGCGTGTGTCCTCACCAACACTCTGCATCCCAGGTGCTGCATTCATATCCTTTTGGGGGAAGGTAGGATTGCAGTTTACAGAATTTTTACAGAATTTAAGCATCTGTGGGGTCAGGCATGGTGGCTCATGCCTATAATCCCAGCAGTTTGGGAGGCTGAGGTAGGAGGATCACTTGTGTTGAGGAGGTCAAGGCTGCAGTGAGCTATGATCGTGCCACTGCACTCCAACCTGGGAGACAGAACAAGACCCTGTCTCAAAGAAAAGAAAAAGACTAAGCATCTGGAGCAATTGCAGGGGCCTGTGCAGGGGCCCGGCATGACCGAGAGTCCTCTGCCTTCCCTGAGCATCAGGCAGGCCCTTCCGAGGTCCCTCAAGATGCCAGAAATGGGACTTTCTCCAAAGTTTAAACATTTGTAGAGGATTTAGCTTCTTTGGTGGCACCCTTGGATTGTGATGCCCTTTGGAAATCTGGTTTCGCTCTTGCTGTGACTGTCTATCGGCATTCATGAAGGACTTGTCTTTTCTCTGCCTGGTGAGGTTTGGAGATTTGAAAGAGGACAAGGTGACGCGCCATGATGGAGCCAGCTCGGATGGGCACCTGGCACACATCTTCAGACATGCGGCCAAGGAGCTGTTCAACGAGGATGTGGAGGAGGTCACCTACCGAGCCCTCAGGTGTGGGGCAGCATCCACAGCCTGTCTGTGCCTGTGGTCAGCGCGTGTGCATGGTGTGCATGCATGGATTTGTGCATGGCAGTTTTATCTATAGAGTTTATACCTGTTAAAAGGCCTTTTTGCGGCCGGGCGCGGTGACTCACGCCTATAATCCCAGCACTTTGGGAGGCCGAGGCGGGTGGATCACAAGGTCAAGAGATCGAGACCATCTTGGTCAACAAGGTGAAACCCTGTCTCTACTAAAAATACAAAAATTAGTTGGGCATGGTGGTGCACGCCTGTAGTCCCAGCTACTTGGGAGGCTGAGGCAGGAGAATTGCTTGAACCCAGGAGGCGGAGGTTGCAGTTAGCCGAGATTGTGCCATTGCACTCCAGTCTCGGTAACAACAGCGAAACTCCGTCTCAAAAAAAAAAAAAAGACCTTTTTTTTGTTTATTCGGACTTTTTATTTTGCTGACTTTCCAGACTTATATTAGAAATTGTTTGCTAAGTGACAGATAAAGGATTTGACGGATCAAAATTCTCTATGTTCATTTTGAAGAAACAAAGACTTCCAAGAGGTCACCCTTGAGAAGAACGGGGAGGTGGTCTTACGCTTTGCTGCGGCCTATGGCTTTCGAAACATCCAGAACATGATCCTAAAGCTGAAGAAGGGCAAGTTCCCATACCACTTTGTGGAGGTCCTTGCCTGTGCTGGAGGTGAGGCACCAAGAGTAGCACCTGGCTCTGTCCCCCACGGGTGCTCAAGCCACAGTGGCCCTGCAGCTGCCAAAGAGACAGTGCTCTTGGCCACCCAGAGCCTCTCAGCCCCAAGAGCTCTGTGGGGTGTGGATACTCCTATGGGGCTTGTGCTGGGACATTCTAGGCTCCATTGGTTTCACTCTATCCCTCACCCCATGTAGTATGTGGGCATTGTCTTGGGGACGTGCCCTCAGGAGGCCCCACATGGCACCAGGTGAGAGTCAGCACCACAAGGGGGCTCCAGGAGAAATGTCAGGTGCAGGTCAGCTGGAGGAGCGACTCCACTGATGGCAGATGAGTGGGACAAGGTGTGAAGCCACAGGATGGAAGGGGCCCCTGGGCAGATCACAAAGGGTGCAGTTGGAGACCCTGCCCTGGTGTCCTTTAACACAAAGGATCTCCTAGAAGAGGGGAGGCCCCAGCCAACACTAAGAAGAGGAGGGTGAGGGCAGACAGGCGAGCGCTGGCTCTGGGGGAGCATGTGCCCTTGGAGGCCTCACTGAGCATCCTAGGGGCACGGAAGTCAGTCCCATGGCTGGGCTGAGGAGCAACCAGAAGGTGATTGTGAAGCAGGGCCTCTGGGAGGGCCTCTGCGTGCAAGCGGGTGGGGCTGGGCCTGAGGAAGGAGAAGGTTTAAGCCAGCCCCCTGGGAAGGTAGAGGTTGGAGACCAACTACGGTGCCACCCTGGAACCCATGAGGAGTGAGGTTTAATCAGGGAAATTTGCTCTAGATTGTTTTAAATGAACTCTTAGGCTACTAAGAGTGATAGCATCTAACATGCTGGAGAGTAAGTAGCATTACTAGATAGGAGACCCATTTTTACTCAGGCCAATGCTGGGTGTGTGGGCTCATAGCTCACCTGCCTCTGGTGGAGCCCCAGCCAGGGCCCAGCACACTAACACACAGTCGTGCAGGCAGGAGTGGTTTAACTGCTTGTTCACAATTCCTGTGCTCCTGGTTTTGCCAAATTCGAAGAGAATTGAAAATCAAGATTTGCATACAAAGCCTTCTTCTAAAAGGTTGGCAACCTAGGCTTTAGGTAAAACCATTTTATGGATGACGTAAATGAGTGAGAATGAGAAGTACAGGGGGCTGCGAGTCTGGGACCATGTCCCTGACTGCCTTGGGGAAGACCTTGGCCCAGCCTCAGCCTTAGGCCATGCAATGTTCCATGTCCTCTTCATTCCTCTCCTGCTCCCAAACTGTCTTCCCTCTGAGGCAAACGCTTCCTTAAGACTATCCCAGCTGGGTGCAGTGGCTCATGCCAGCAGTCCCAGCTTGAAACAGGAGGATTGCTGCTTGAAGCCAGGAGTTCAAGATCAGCCTGGGCAACATAGCAAGACCTCCCCCCCCACCCCCAATCTCTACAAAAAATTTTAAAATTAGCCAGGTAAGATGGTATATGTCTGTAGTCTGAGCTGCTCAAGAGGACAAAGTAGAAAGATCACTTGAGCCCAGGATAAACTTACCTGTGTTTATCTTTCAGGATGCTTAAATGGCAGAGGCCAAGCCCAGACCCCAGAAGGACAGGCAGATAAGGCCCTGCTTCGGCAGATGGAAGGTATTTATGCTGACATCCCTGTGCGGCGCCCAGGGTCCAGTGCACACATGCAGGAGCTGTACCAGGAGTGGCTGGAGGGGATCAACTCCCCCAAGGCCCAGGAGGTGCTGCACACCACATACCAGAGCCAGGAGCATCGTGCACACAGCCTGGACATCAAGTGGTGAAGTCAGGCCAAGGCCTTCCAGCCGCTCTTGGGGCTGGGGCTGCTCTGAGGGAGGGGCTGCCCTGAGTGGAGTATTAAAGACACTTAAGTAAACCGTTCAATGGGTACTTTGGTTTCTCAGAGTTCCCTGCTACCCCATTTAGTGGAGGCCCCCCAGGCAGTTTCTTGTGGTGCTATCTTCATGGTAGGTGTGGGATTGGAACATGTTTTTTTTTTGTTTTTTGTTTTTGAGATGAAGTCTCGCTCTGTCACCCAGGCTGGAGTGCAGTGGTACAATGTTGGCTTACTGCAACCTCCACTTCCCAGATTCAAGGGATTCTCCTGCCTCAGCCTCCCAAGAAGCTGGGACAACAGGTGCACACTGCCACACCTGGCTAACTTTTGTGTTTTTAGTAAAGTCGGGGCTTCACTATGTTGATCAGGATTGTCTAGAACTCCTGACCTCCTGATGCACCTACCTTAGCCTCCCAAAGTGCTGGGATTACAGGCGTGAGCCACTGTGCCCGGCAGATTGGAACATTTTAACATGAGAGGAGCACTTCCCCAGTATATCCCTTTATCTTAAGATTGTGAAAAAATCCCAAAGAGTGAGAACGGAGACAGACTACTTTTAGGTTTAAAAAAAATACCAGAAAGTGTCCTGTGAAGACCTGAGACCCCCAGAGGTCCTAATGCACATGGCTCAGGGGTGATTTTATGTGGGAGTGAGGGTAGAGTGTGGGGTAGCTGTGCCTGTGGAATCCTGTGTCCCTGGGGTTGTTAGGGCAGGCAGTCCACAGCCCCAGATCCCTGCCCAGTTTGACTCTTGCTTTTACCCACTCATGTTTTCCTTGAAAATGTTTTTGCCAGAACATTAATAACTGTCAGCCTTTTGGAATCAGGAGACTCATACAAATCTGGATTTCCAGTTTTTCTTGAGAAAAACTTTAGGTTCTGACAACAGTAGGCCCCATTCTTCACAGCCAGTCACCACCCTCCTGTACCACACCCAGGGCCCTGGGAGCCCTGGCAACTCAGGCCCCAACTCAAACTTGTACATTTAGTCTTTGACTTGGACTTGCATCAAGGGATGGGAAAGGCCTGACTAGGGTGGCAGACAGCAGAGTGGAGAATCGAGAAGGTTGCCTGCATAAGCTGGGTGGGTGCAAGGGAGCCCTAGCTTCCTCTCAGCACCATCGTGGGGTGGGAGTCAGGGTAAAGGCTCCATCCAACCCTAGGTGTTGTGAGGCTACTCAGGTGGTCCAGCCTCCTGCAGAACACTTCCCTGTCACCCTTCTCTTCAGACAGATTTCTCACACACGGCCCTGGCCCATCCATTCATCATGAAGCCCTGTGTTCACGGTGATGGAGCCCCCTCCATCCTGGCACTGCACTGCAGGCATGAGCTTGCCTTAAAAATAAAAGAGAGGCCAGGCACAGTGGCTGGTGCCTGTATACCCAGCACATTGGGAGGCCAAGGCAGGAGGATTGCTTGAGTCCAGGAGTTTGAGATTATCCTGAGCAACATGGTAAGACTTTATCTCTACAAAAAAAAATTTTTTTTTTTTTTTTTTTTTTTTTGAGACAGAGTCTCAGGTTGGAGTACAGTGGCACCATCTTGGCTCACTGCAACCTCTGCCTCCTGGGTTCAAGCTATTCTCCTGTATCACCCACCGGAATAGCTGGATTACAGACACATGCCACCACACTCAGCTAATTTTTGTATTTTTAGTAGAGATGGGGTTTCGCCATGTTGGCCAGGCTGGTCTTGAACTGCTGACCTCAGGCAATCAGCTCACCTTAGCCTTCTAAAGTGCTGGGATTACAGGCATGAGCCACTGAGACAGGCAAACATTGTTTTTAAAAAAAGGAGAAAGCAGTTTAACCACAAACAGTGAAAGAGCTGGCAGACACCTGAAAATTCACAGAACTGTGCAGCTGCATCCTAGGACTCCTCTTAGGAAAAGAAAAATGTCAACGTGGCTGGAGGTGTCCTGAAGGACCGGGTTTAGGTTAACTCTAGCAATGGCCTCCCCGACCCCCATGCTGCAAAGCCTCTGCACACTAGGTTGCCTTCATCTCACTCTGCGTGTTGTGCCTGTGCACCTGTCTTGGTGGGTACCTGGATATATTGTGTTCAGTTGTGTATTTGCTTTGCTTTCAATCTGTATGCAGTTGGGTTTCCATCCTCTAACTGATGCTGGAATAAACAGTTGCAGCCTGTCTGAGTGGATGGTTGAGTGAGCCACCTGCTGCCCTGGCAGGGCTGCATCTTGTGGTGCACTGCTATCCTCACCATGGCCATGCCAGGTGGCCTCGCCCTGTGCTTCCTGAGCTGCCTCCACCCGGTGTGGAGTCAGGAGAGTCCTCTCTCCCTTCAGGAAGATGCTCACCAGGCCTAGAACACCAGGAGTTGGCAGAGGGTCGCCCTTGTCCAGCTACAATGAAGAAGTCACCTCCCACAGTAACTGTTGGACAGGGTGCCACAGCTGGCCCCTGCAGGTTGTGTGGGAGGCCAGGCTGAGGGACTGGGCACCAACATGAGGTGCCAGGGGTCCCCATGAAACCTTGCTGGTAGGTTATAGCCACGGGGGCTGTGCGCTTTTTCTTCTGCACAGGAGAAAAGTGAAGAGATTTCCTTCATTATAATTGGAAGCATATGAGCGGTCAGGTCAAGGCACCTAGATGCAGTGCAAGGCAGCATGCTGGTGAGGTAGGCTGGTCCTGTTATGAGGAGGAAGTGGAGGAGACACACCCTGGCAGGCATCCCGCGCTGGCACCACTGTGTAGGAATGCAGCTGTGTGTGCTCTGGCACTGCGGTGTACTGCAGGGGACCCGAACACGTCTCATCTGATGAATGTGTGTTGCTGTCCCAGTGAATAGATCTGCTCTTGGGTGCCTGTGGTCTAACTGGCAGAGCCCCGATTTCTCAATCCATTTCCACCTGGCCTGAGAGCTTGTACTCACTGCAGCCAGTGTAGACTGTGTCCACATTGGTCCTTCCTTAGTGTTCCTAGTGCTGCATATGGGCTCTCCACTGTGCCCACCCGCTGGTTTCCTGCTTGTCTGGGATGTGGATCTAGGGTGAGCCCTTGGGTGTGCACTGCCTTCAAGGGTGTCCCGTGGCCTCATCTGCAGGCCCAGAGCTGAACAACTGAGGCATCTGGACGCTTGGCCTGCCACAGTCATGTGACCTTCACACTGAATCTAGGCCAGAGATGTCAGAGGGAACCGCGGCCCAGGCAGGGGCTGACTTGCCCAAAGCCACTTGGCCTCCAGGTGGGCCCCAATGTTTATGTTTCCACTTCAAACAGAGCATCTGTCTAAAGCAGATCAACCTTCACCTCATGGTTAGGAGCCCTTAGTCCACTGCTGCAGAGAATGAGGTGTCATGTCTGGGTATAGGCTGGCTCTACTTTCTGAGGATGAGTCTTGTGTTTTGAAATCAAGGAGAGCCGGTGCTAGTGCTGAACACTTCAAAGTTGAAATGTGAATTGTCCAACAGGCAAATGATTTTAAGTATTCAGCTCAGGAAGAAGAGGAGGCCTCACAGCTGCTGGCTGGAGTGCAGTTTGGCTGTTCGGAACTTTCCTGGGAGCAGTTGCCCTCACTGGTACCCAGTGCGCAGGACCCAGAGGATGTCTGTTCTGTATCCACACTGGTGTGAACAAGCTGCAGGCCAGGCGCAGTGGCTCACACCTGTAATCCCAGCACCTTGGGAGGCCGAGGCAGGCAGATCACAAGGTCAGGAGTTTGAGACCAGCCTGGCCAATATGGTGAAACCCTGGCTCTACTAGAAATACAAAAATCAGCCAGGCATGATGGCGTACACCTGCAGTCCCAGCTGCTCAGGAGGCTGAGGCAGAAGAATTGCTTGAACCCGGGAGATAGAGGTTGCAGTCAGCCGAGATCGTGCCAGCCTGGGCAACAGAGTGAGACTGTCTCAAATAAATAAATAAAAATACTTCTGCTATAGTTACTTTTCATAAGTGCCAGCTCTTTGTGGCAGATTAACCTTCTGCTCTGGGTAGCACAACTCCGTCAGCCCATTTTGCTGACTCTAGGCATCTCATCCTAACTGCCCAGCCACATGGAGGGCCTCAGGGAGTGCCGAACAGTGTAGGCCTGGCTGCATTTGCCGCCCAGTATCCTAGTTGGAATTGGGCGACCTTGTGTTGAACCAGGACACAGGACTGCTTTCGGATGCTATGGCGCAGGCTTTGGTGTTTGAGCAGCAGTGTGGCCTTCGTCTGAGGTGTGTGTTGGGTCTGCCTCTGACCAGCCGTGTGTCTTGGTAAGTTAGGTAATACTTCGACTCTTCTCCCTGCTGCCCCCTAAGCCTTCCTCTCACATGGACCTTGGCAGAATCCTGCTCCTCTATCTTCTACTTTAACCACCATCAGGGTGTCCTGCGATTTCACCATGCCCTCCTGCCCTGTTATGGAAAGACCATGTACCAGGTGCCACTCCTTGCCCACTCCAGGCCCAGAGCACAGTGTTTGCCACTGTCCTGGGCTCTGGTACCTGAGGATTCTGTCCCTTAGCCAGTCTGAAAATGGACAGCCAGGTGGCAGCACTGGCACTTTGGGATGTCAGTGCCATCCTCATGGGGACTGTGTGTCCATGGGATGCTGGGGCCTGGTGGTGGGGCATGCAGGGAGTGAGGACTGTGCCTGCATTTCTCTCCTGTGAGAGGGAGGTTCTCACCTCCAGCTTCTGATATCAACGGAGCGGGAAAGAAGTGGAGCCTCTGTGGCCAACCCAGAAGGCTATGACACCCCAGCCCTTTTTTTTTTTTTTTTTGAGACGGGGTCTTCTGTCACCCAGGCTAAAGTGTAGTGGTGCAATTTCAGCTCACTGCAGCTTCGACCTCCCAGGCTCAAGATACCCTCCCACCTCGGCCTCTCGAGTAGCAGGGACTATATGCACATGCCACCACGCCCGGCTAATTTTTGTGTTTTTTGTAGAGACAGGGTTTCACCATGTTGCCCAGGCTAGTCTCCAAATTCTGACTTCAAGCAACCCACCTGCCTTGGCCTCCCCAAGTGCTGGGATTACAGTTGTGAGCAACTGCGCCTGGCCCTGATCTTCTAACCAAAACTAGAGAGACAGAGTGGAAAA